TTCTTTCCCAACATCAGTCAGGATTCAGAAAACAACACAGCACAATAATTGCTGCTGTTTAAGTGGTTAATGACATCGCTGATTTAATGGACTGCAAAAAATCCTGTGTTGCTCTTTTTCTTGACTTATTAAAGGCTTTTGATACAGTTGACCGTGCTATTTTATTACATAGACTAAACAATATTGGTCTATCTGTAAATGCTGTAAGTTGGTTTTCAAATTACTTGTCACCAAGAAAACAGTGTGTCCATGCTGCTGGGTCTTCTTCCTCTTTTCTCCCAGTATCCAAAGGAGTTCCGCAGGGCTCCATATTAGGGCCATTGCTATTTTCTCTTTACATAAACAACCTTTGTGATAATTTTTCAAATGCAGCATTCCATCTTTATGCAGATGCTACAATTATTTATTGTTCATCCCCTTCAGTAGCACAAACCCTGCAATTTCTGCAGTCTGCCTTTGATGTCGTTCAGTCCCATTTAACTCAACTTAAGTTGGTGTTAAATCCAGAGAAATCCAAGTTCATGTCATTCTCAAATGGCAAAGAGTTGTTAGCTACGTCTCCTAAGATTAAAACAATTCAAGGAACTGAAATTGAAATGGTCACATCTTACAAGTATCTAGGGATCATTTTAGATCAGAATTTGTCATTAAACTAAGTTTCTTCTTTAGAAATCAATCCTGTTTCTCCCTCCAAGTGAGAAAACACTTGATTCATGCAACTTTTTTTACCTTTATTGGATTATGGTGACCTGCTTTTTATGAATGCACCTGCCCACTACCTAAAGACGTTGGATACTGTGGACCATCGTGCTTTATGTCTTATTACCGGCTATGGAAATCGTGTACATCATTGTTCTTTGTATGCTGCTGCTAAATGTCCATCTTTGCATATTCGCAGACTCTCCCGTTGGTTGATCTTTATCTATAAACCTCTCCTTGGGCTGGTTCCATCTTATTTATGTGTTTATATGTGTAAAAACCACAACCAATGCAGCCTTCGTTCTCACAATGTCCTACAATTGATTGTCCCAGAAATCAGAACAGAATTGGGGAAAAAGGCTTTTACATACGCTGCCCCTGCTTCCTGGAATAATCTGCAGAAGGAACTGAAATGATCAGAATTGGGAGAGTTTAAGTCTGTCTTAAAGGAACGAGAGAACAACTCCTTTACTGAGTGTGATTGTTGTTAATGTACTCTTAATTTGATCTGTTATTGTATATTTTTCATATATTTTTTTGTTGGTATGGGATATTGTATTTGTTTTAAATGTTATGTACTTATGTGGTACGTATATTGTGACTTTTGTTACCATGATGCCAGGTCTCTCTTGGAAATGAGATTTTTAATCTCAGTGAGATTTTTTACCTGGATAAATAAAGGACTAATAAAAAATATATATTTTGTTTTTACACAGGACAGACTGCAACATGTTCACAGCTTTAATTCTACAAACAGAGGTTTAAACACAGGGTTTGTTTTAGTAAAGAAAGAATAAAAGGAACTATGATTGAGCAACATCCAAAGAACACACAAAGAACGGCTTTGTAGTGAACTGAAACTGTGTTAAAAACAATAAAACATGTGCACTCATCGTGCTTCTCTTGATATTTCATGCCCCCCTCACCACCACCACACACACACTTAATTGCCTTCAGTGAACTCTGCTCTTGTTTCTAAGGCAACTTTTCATCCAGTCAACATTTGACTTCCACCCAGAGCGTCTTTGTTCAGGTTTATGAGATTAGCAAACCATTGCATTCTGTTTTCATTTACACACTAATTTTTATCTTTATCAGTGTGTACTCACAGATAAAGGGGTGTGTTTAATGCAACACACATTCTGACTGTATTCATTTAATAGTTAAAGCAGTCTTGGGTAATAGTGGAGCAATATATTATTAACTATACACCAGCTGTTATAGGGGAAGAGCAGGGCACACCTGGGACAGGTCACCAGTCTGTTGCAGGGCTACATCAAGCCCTCACATGTACAACTTTTGAAATGTCCATAACGTCCTTTGATCTGAACAATTTGTTAAGCTCTATATTAATGCTGGCATCTCCTCACCAAGAGTAACTCTGCATTTTATTGACAAAATTACAAAATTACAAGAAAAAAAAAAAACTCACTGAGTTTAATAGGGTGTCTGTTTCAAAGAAACACGAGTGAAAAAAAATCCATCCATAAAAATTAGTGCTGGTATGACATCATCACCTGGAGCAGCAGGGAGTCGTGATCCTTGCTGCTGATAGGCTCACTGGGAAGAGGGTTGGGATTTGATTAATAAAAGCATCCAACACTTTGAGTGCAACACACTGCAGAGTCAGACGGTAAGCAGCATCACGGCAAGGATACTGATCAGAAGATAGCAAGGTAAGAGGACTTTTTTTGTTACTTGTAACAATAAACAGGATATCATCTGCAGTAAAGGTTTGCAACTATCAGCAGCAAGTCCTCATTTTAAGTTCCTTCCTGTTAATTACGAATGCAGACTTAAGTGTTTATTATAGCGCGACATGGCAGGGACACTAAAAGTTACATGAAACCAAATAATCGCAATATTATGCTCTTATTTTCTGAGATTTAAAAAAACGTATCCAGCTGCTATATGAGCTGTAGTGTATTTCATGCACTGTTTCACAGACTAAGTTGGACCTTTGTGATGCTCAGTGTGTGTTCTTCATGAGCTGAAAATGTTGTTAATAATATGAATTTCCCTTAAAAAGAAATGGAAATTCTTTCCACAGTGCACATCTCACTCCTTACAAGCTTTTCCTGTTTTAGGAAAACATTAGAGTTGCCATGGTAACAGCCACTCACCTGAGTGACTCACTGAGCACCACACCTTGTCTAAAGTTTAAAAGAGGGAGACAGATGAGCCAATCCTCCCACATATTAGTCAGTGCGCCCCAGGGCGGATGTGGCTACAATGTAGCTGCCATCACCAGTGTGTGAATGTGTGTGTGAATGGGTGGATGACTGGATGTGTAAAGCGCTTTGGGGTCCTTAGGGACTAATACAAATACAGGCCATTTACCATATTACGCAGCCCTGTGTGAGCAGCTATTCATGCTGATGTCAGCAGTGAAACATGGCATTTACTCAGCTCGAGTCATTATTCACCACGTGCTGTTATAATAACGATTGAGAAACATGTTGCACGGCGCGGTCTGTAAGAAGTACTGACTCATACTGGGTGCTGCACTCTAGGACGCACACTGTTTATTTTTTACAGCAACAACAACTTTTTCAGATTAGCCGTCACTGTAGTCCACGCTGATGTGGACAACCCGCCACAGCTGCCCAACAAATGTTCAGGTTTAACTTTCTGCGGAGTTCCTGAAGCTGAAAGCAATTTAGGCTTAGAAGTCATTTTAAAGGAATTTAGGACCACAGCTGAAGATAAAGCAATCACTCCAGGTTATTTAATTTTTCTGGTTCACTGGACCTCTAGCTCTCTGAAAGCCCAACAGTTTCTGAGCATTTTTGCCCTTATTGTAGGTTTATCCTCCTAAAGTGCTGCACCTCTATGGAGATCAAAGTGTCATTACTGGAAACACAGAGAAGTGTGGCGTATAGCAGGCTCTGTATTGTTTTTTTCTTAACTTCTGCTAGGCTGGGAGGTCATTTGGCTAGACCCCAAATGACAAAACCATAAAACAAAACATCCCCAACAAACTGTACTAATTTATGCAGGCTAACTTGTTGGTTCTGAATAACATGTAGAAATTTACGAGTCCACCTTGAGTTGAATCCAGATCCAGCTTGAATTCGTGCCAAGTTTACATCACTTTCTGCACAACATGAACTATGCCTGGAACCAGTTTCAGCCATGCCTTGGTTAAATCCATGTTGCTGGTTTTGCACTTCTCCAAGTCATTCCTAGAAATCTCAAAATATGACTACTGTTGGCTCCATTTTCATTTTCCACTCGTCCAATTCGGGGTCCAAGAGTGCCCGAAGCTCATCTCAGCTGACGTGCGATCAATTATTTCTCAAAGGCTACATAAGACTTGTTTTTTAGAATACTGAATTCAATACTTTAAGACTTTAGGGTCCACGAGAACCCAGGTCTTTTGTTTCATAAATGCCACCGGTATCAATAGCAGGATGGAAATCGTACTCCTCCCTCTGTTCTCAAACTGAGCAGTGTCTGTTGTGTCTGTTCCCACCTATTCTGCCTTTAGCCTTCAAAAGCTTCTGAGTCTGCACCAACACTCCCTTTTCAAAGGCCTTTTCAACTCCAGATGTCCTTATACACATTCACAGGGTCCTTTTTCTCCACCGTTTCCAGTCTTTCTGTATTGCTAATGTCAGCATAGGGCAACAAGTTGCACAGCTTTTGGAATCTTCTGTTAAAAATGCAATTCCAACTTTGCTACTTTCTCCAAAAGCAACACTGAAAAACTCAGGATGGGTACCCATGTGTGGTGCACAGTATCGGGGGGGAAAAACACCTTTTGATGCGTCTGTTATACAAAAACAACAATGGCAGGGCTTTCATTTCATTCATGACAGAATAACCGATCTCTCTCCATTGTCTCTCTCTGGCCTTTGGCAGGCACGCACAGAAGACTCTGAGCTCCCCTAACATGATGCCTACAGTTAAAGGCTTGGCACACACGATACCCAGTCATGTTCTCAGAGTGGGCCAAACTATTTGCTTGGAACCGTCACAGGAGACAGTCACCCACCATGATGATCCTGATCTCGACATTTCTCTGGAAAATCTCAACCAGTTAATCTTGGAACTGGATCCCACATTTGAACCCATCCAATGCAGCAAAAGTCCCACATGTCTCAGCCCCCCCACAGGTACAGTAAGACTGTAAACACTTCTCTTGCTCTACCCAATTCAACCTCACATCACTTTATTGCAGATGCATCAAACTCAAACGAGAGACAGTCAAAACTTGCTTGCTGTGTGGGAAACTGAACTTGAAAAATTGTGTGGTTAACGGGTACCATATAGCAACTTTATTGCTCTGAAATCAGTTACGTATAAAAGCCTAAAATTGCCAAGTGCAGTTTCACAGAAAATCTACATCTAATTGACCTCAAAGCCACTTCTCCGTTTTTTTTCAAGCGATATAATATTCATTTTGAAACCATGCACCAGCAGAAATATAGCAGCACCCTGCGAAGGGTGGAGCTTACTGAGGTCACAAACACTAACCTGACTAGATTAAAACGCCATATTTGATTCAGGCCTTCACGATTCTGACAGTTATATATATATAGCAGAATATAAGGACCAGTATGCTAGGTCCTCCTTAAGTTGACAGGGAAGAGATAAAGAGGGTTTAAAGCTATTTCATTAGTCCAAACAGTAATAAGACAATTTCAAAGACACTTCAAACTCAGACACTTCATGCAGAGTGGTCATAAGCAAGATTAAATATTGCTTTGGTTGCATGTCTCTTAAAATCAGTTCAGCAACTTTTTCAAAGCTATTTTCTCTGCTGCTGTGGATTCAAGCGTGTAAAAACATTGCTTGTTGGTAAAGAAGTCATCAGTTTCTCATCTCTCTTAAAATTACTCCCCTTGACCCTGTTGGAACCTGGTTACAGGCAGTGTGCTGGGAAAACTTGTCATCATGTTTCACCCATCATGTTATCACACTTTCAGCAATAAACTAAAGCAACTTAATGTTGCCTACACATTTGGTACCTACATGTTAAATCTGCTTTCTGATCATTTACCTAAATATACTATTGTAGAAAAGTTAAATTTACTTACAATTTAGAGTGATATGTGGACCAGATATAACATGTACAAAGGGCCTGTTTAGCCCTTTTTTATGCTTCAGTCTAACTCTTGAAAGCTCCCAGCTTTCAGAGGTGTGACACAGAGCACAGTAAAGCCATAGCCACCCTTGTAAACAAATAGTACAGATAGCCTTGGGCTCTGGAAATTTACCCACCCTTTCTGAGATAGTTTTAATATTTTTAATCATGTTGTAATTGCACCACTTTGTCTGTCCTGGGATTATTGCCCAGACTTGTACCACACCCTGCATGTGTTACAGCTACAGACTGAAAAGGCTCAGCGAGCAGTCACGCACCGGGGTGGAACAACGGTGCCTCATTCAGTCCTGCTTTCATCAGAAAGTGTGCACAAGAGTCAAAGCATACATATGTGTAAAAATAAATGGGTTTCCTGTTTCTGATCTTTTCTTCAGAGAAGTTTGGTCGTGTGTTTATGAAACTGTCACGTGTTCTGAAAAGGTGAATAAGTTTAAAGGAAATCAAGCAGCAGTGTGGAGAAATATCTCCATATTCAGGCAGATTTCGCTCTTTCTGCATGAACATTAGTCATAATTATGCAACTCTGGTTGCAGAAGCCGCTCGTCTGGCATATACAGACACCACATGCTATGGCATTTTCTTAAGGGCGTAAATTGTGCTGATCACCACCTTGATCCTGACGAATCAAGAAGTGGCTGAGGCTCCTCTAGGCGATCTAATGTTCTAGCAACAGTACAAATGTGCAACTCAAAGAACAGTCTGTGCAAGCAGGTACCTGCATGACAAAAATACCTGGCAACTGTGTCCTTACATACACACCGAGCCAGTTCTGCTGATATAAACCAAACCAACACTGTTTTTTCCTCACCAGAATAAACTCCCTCCCTCCCAATACTAACATCTCACCCTTCCACCCACAGATGCCTCTTGCTCAGATGAAGATTTCTCTGAAGTTGTGCTCATTCCTAGAGGCTGTTCAACCATTTCATCACCCACAGTGGTCCCCTCGGTGTCCCCGAGTATACCCATCCCCACACACAACGGCCTCAGATGCAGTCCCCAAGGGACGCTGGTTTTCTCCAGCTCCCCAACGTCCTCTCTGCCCCCGCTGCCATTTGGCAGCGCACCCAGGCGAAACCCCTCACCGAAGAATGACTTTTGCCAAGGATCACTGCGGCTGTCACACTCCAACAGAAACAGCACCGCCTCACTGCTCTCCACCTCGACCTGCTCGGACACCAGCTACATCCTTGGCAGGTAAAACTCAGTGAGACATCCCATCATGATACAAATGTCTTCCATTCTGTCCACTTCTCTGGTCTTGAAAACTGATCCACTTTAAACATGGTGAGTATTTTGAGGCGACACGAGCAGAGAAGGCCTGATCGACTTGGATGAGCAGTGTTCACATTGTGACTAAAAGCTGTTCCATTCTGTGTGTAGGCGAGGGTCACACACACACAAACACACACAGATATTATTGCTTTCCCAAGCGTCTTACTCCAAACTTTAACCATCACCGGTCAGAGCCAAACTCCAAGTCCAAGTCTCAAACTTCAAGCAGGCCTGAACGAGTTTTAACACAGTTTCACAGCATTATGCTCGATCCTTTCACAAGTGTTAGGGTTCATTTCTAAACACAAAGTCGAGATTCTCCTTATTTAAAGAAAGGGAAGGGGGGGGGGGGACATGCAGAAACTAACTGTACTTCCCAGTGAAATACACTAGTTTCACATTTTTACTGAATTTACTATGAAATCAGGACAATTTATGTCCATGTACTCCAAATTTCTGACATGAAACAATTTCTGACATGCATCTCTCCCCTGATCTAAAACAGGTCTTACAACTTATTGTGACTCATCTTTATTTATTTTTGGTTATTTCTGTCTTTTGATTTCCTGTGAGAAATGACTTCAATCACCCACTTGAGTTCTTATCACGAAACCTGCAACCCGCAGTCTACATTTTGAACAAGCACAATCACATAGTCCTCAAGTTTATCCTTACCTCTGTGCGCTTTTATAATCAATGAGTGTTATATGTGTACTTCACGAGTGTCTGTTTGTCATGTATTTATAGAGCAACTCAAAACTGTAGCTAGAAAAAAATAGGTCAGGTTGCACTAGGCCTAAAATACTGCACAACCTTATGTTCAATTTGTTCTATACCTGCAGCACCAGTTTACATCGCAACAGTCGTCTAAAGGTGCATTATAATTAGAGGTAAAGACTCCACGACAGTCTTCCATGAGGAAGAACTTAGTGACACTTTTAATAGGAAGACCTAGAAAAGACTTTTCTTGGCTCAGTCTCCTGCTTTTATTTAGCAGGGCACTATACACAAGCACAGTCTGCATATATCTAAGGCAAAAGACATTTAACACACAATTCTTTGCTTTTATTTTAGCTTTTACCATTTGATAACCAGTTACCCACTGTAATTTCTTTTGTTCTGAAATAGTTTGAAATATTAAGAAAATAACTTAATCTATCAACAGAAAAGAAGAAAACTGACTTGCATTTCCAAAAACATGTATTGTGTTAAAGAGCTGTTGACTGCATTTGAACTAAGCGGCGCTGTACTTTGGTTTAAAACCACTTTGTGCCTTAATGTAGTGCCGTAAAACCTACTCGGACCGACTGGTTTTCCATTATAATTTAGTACCTCCAAATGCGCATGATCTTTGTCATGCCAACGTGTCCAAGCGTCCCACAACTTAATTAATACGCAGCACGAACGCTACAACAAAGGTGGACAAGAATAAACCTGCTGCTCGGTCTGTGGATCTTTGTCAGACTTGGGGATCACTGAGTTGTTTTTTGTTGCCATTTCCCAGTTGTCGGGTTTCAAAAATGCCAGTTTTGATTTCCGTGAACAAAACACTCTCATGACTCGTAGAGTGATGCTACTGACCAGCCAATTGGTGGCATGTAGTCGATGACGTCACATTTTAGTACCTGCTCGGATTGCTTGGAACCCCGGCCAAGCAGGTACTAAAGAAAGTACCTGGTAACAGGTGAAAACTGTGCCCAGTCAAGCCCAGTAGGTAATAATGGAAAAGAGGCTTAAGTGACTAGAACCTCAATTTAACCATGCTAATCATTAAGAAGACCTTTTCATTCACAAAGTAAGGTAAGCCTCTCGAAGAGGTTTGCTTCTGCACAGGATAATTACAAAAACACTTTTAAATTCAAAACACAAAAAACATGTTTTTTATTAAAGTCTTTGTTCCTTTAATTATAGTTATCCTTCTAGAGGGAATTAAAATTTTAAAAAATGTCTCACTGCAAAAGAACCTTGTGTTTCCAACGTTATTTTTCCTCTTTTTTCTTTCGTCATAGTAACCTCTCCTTAACCGGTGAAGATGCTGATTTTCCAGAGTCCATGCTACCCAGCTCCTTTAGTGACGATTCCAGGATGAAGCCATGTAATAACAGGCAAAGCCTGGAGAAGCCCTTGAAGACAAAGCGAGGACATTTACAGGAAGTGAACAGCAGAAGAGCACAGAACGGCCCAGTCTCAGGGTCACTGACCGATATTCCCATACTGTTAGTCAACGGTGCACCTCAACAGGACCTGCACAGCCCTGAACCACAGATCGAGTTACTCCAGAGGAACCCTGTGTCAAAACCAACATATTCCAGTTCTCAAGCCCGTTTTAACGGCAGCCAGCCATCGATGAAATTTGTCATGGATACGTCAAAGTTTTGGTTCCGTCCACACATCAGCAGAGCAGAAGGTGAGACCCAAGCAAGCATCACATGAAGACCTTACAGTAAAAGCACTAAATTCACAGTGGATTTGTTTGAGGAGGTCTCAAAAGTAACAATTTCATTTCACAGTCCTGCTTAAAGCACAAAATGTTGATGCAATTCAGCATGAAAGCATTCACCAAAGTTAAACACATTCGGTGCTTTTCCATCAATGGGAATCTTCTCGAAAGCTTTGTTCAAACTCTGAAAGTGTGCCATCGAGCTAAAGTGATCCATAAGTGTTTTTCTTGAGTAATAAAACACACGTTGTTGCATTTTTCTGAGCATTTTTGATGTCTTATTTATTCTAGCTGAAGCTCTGGTAAAAGACAAGGAAGCAGGAACCTTTGTGGTGAGAGACAGCACCTCCTACAGAGGCAGTTTTGGTTTGGCCATGAAGGTAGATCAAACGCCCACCAGCTTTACTGCTGCTGCCTATCCAGGTAAGCTCACTAGTAAGAGCAGTGGCCTGACCTCAGTTTCAAAAGCAGAAATCAGTCAGATCCAGGAAACAGAAGATCTTAAAGCCACAAAAACACAACTGCACACACAAAGCATGAATACAGCGTAGCGTATTGCTGTTGTTGTTACTCATATATAACACAGACGGTGTATAAAGATCTCTAATTTTACATAAATGCTCTGGTCTATACCAGAGCCCTGCAGCGCATGCCTTACCCAACTCTGCTGACGACATCAAGCGATCTGTGGCGTGCTAGCACGCAGTGCTGTCATTTTTTCCTACCACAGTATACCTTGTATAAACACAAAAGAAAACCAGCTGTTTACGGCACTGTAAGCAGTCGGTGAGGGGAAAAAAGGACCTCACTCACGAAACAATTTTGAGGCTTGCCTCGTTTGTAGATTTGTACGTTTTCATCCCTTTCAGGAATGCGGGATATGTGAGCGTTGGTCAAGCTCTGAGACCACTTCACTGACAGGCTCCATCCATCGAATTAATCCCTACATCCCGGGCAATCTAGCAACATGTTTTTCCTATTTAGCATGGTTTTCTTTAGCAGAACATTATATAATAATGCCTCTTTTATTTAAACCAGCCACAAAAATGTAAGGCTATAAAATGGAACTAAAAGCACTAATTAACTCAGTGAGACCAAACAGTTTGCCTTAGCTAAGCTAAAGTTATAAATCCTTCACATACAGACATGTAAAGGCTGCCTGTTCTGCTCGCTTACAGCACCAATCTATCCTTAACTCTGGTCTCAGTGCAGTCCCTCAGTTTACCCTTTGTCATAAATGAATCATTTTAGCTCCTCTCCCTTTAAATGAACTTTCACCTGATTGGTTGCTCCGTACAAACAGAAGGTTCAAACAGCAGGTGGATGAATATCTGCTCTCAATGTGAGCTTTCCGCTCCCAGAGATTACCGAACAAAACTTCTGCTAGTTTAAGATGAGCATCCAACACTGTAATAGTATATTTCCATCCATCCATCCATCTTCATCCGCTTTGTCCGGGGCCGGGTCGCGGGGGCAGCAGCCTAAGCAAAGAGGCCCAGACCTCCCTCTCCCCAGCCACCTCCTCCAGCTTATCCGGGGGAACACCAAGGCGTTCCCAGGCCAGCCGAGAGATATAATCTCTCCAGCGTGTCCTGGGTCTGCCCCGGGGCCTCCTCCCGGTGGGACATGCCTGGAACACCTCACCCAGGAGGCGCCCAGGGGGCATCCTTGTCAGATGCCCGAACCACCTCAGCTGGCTCCTTTCGATGTGGAGCAGCAGCTGCTCTACTCTGAGCAAATAATAGTATATATTCTGTTATAATTTCCATGCACATGACTGACAGCATCATGTGCATGCTGATAATCACCTAGTCCCCCAAAAAAGTGAGGAACAAAAGAAGAGAGTGCATGCCCTGAAACCTCGCAGCACTGCTCGTGAGAACGGCCAATAAATTAGGCTGTAAAGCTCTGCGACTCTATTTTACCGACAGACCGGCACTAGTCAGTCCTTAGGGGGAAAAACATAGGACAGGACGACAACATCAGATCGTTGATGGCCTCATTTATGTGTTTATGGTGGCCTTGTAAGTCAGAATGAATTTTAAATTAAAGTAAATTAACTCCCTGATCACAGCAAATGACAGGAGACAACTACCTGAAAAACTCTACATTTATTAAATCTAATTTATCTGGGCTGTATGGAGACAAAACGCACTGAATGAATGGCAGCACTTTACTTATTACAGCAGCAACATAATGTTTTTTGAAAGCTTTATGTACCCTGCGTCTCTCACATTCAGAAATCACTGCCATCCAGCGCCATTAGTTACTAATGCCTCTCTTCCATCATTGTGGTCTCAGTGCTGTGCAGAGGCAGCTCTGCTTCAGCGCCTTTTAAGAACAAGCTCACATTTCGAAAGGTTTGGGAATCCTGTGCAGCAGCGCTACTGAAGCCAGGTGAAAGAATTCGTAGGTTACATTTGCCAATCGCTGATGAACATCTTGCGGTGCCCTGCCACACAGCCACTGACGTCAACACGAGCAATTAAGTGGTTCTGTGTCTTCTTTTTTGAAGAAACTGGTGGGAAAGGGTTATTCCAGTGCTTCTTTATCACATTGCCTTCATATATTGTTCATTCTGTGTGCATTTCATTCTCTGACATTTGTCCTTTTGTCAAAACAGGGGAAAGCAGCTCTGATCTTATCAGACACTTCCTCATTGAATCATCCGCCAAAGGCGTGCGCATTAAAGGCTCTTCTCAGGAACCCTACTTTGGTGAGTCGAGTTATCAGTTTCATACCCACCGAGAATTCACTCGTCTGTTTAAAAAGTGAGTGCTGCTCTGACTCAGAGATCTCTCGCCTCCTGGGATGTGGGTGGGCATGAGTGCCATGGATCTTACCTTTGAGCATTAGTACAAAGGGTGTGTATTCTCACACCCAAAGAACCTTTCTTATCAGTAGTGTGGGCCACTGGTTTGTAATCAGACACCCATGGCCATGTACTGATATGTCTCTCGCCACAGATATGTAACGTTACAGTAATGTTGTCACTGAAATATGGAAAAACAGTCATCATAGCAGCAGAAGGATTTATACTGTAGTGAGTCTCTGTGTCATAACAAAACTCTGTAGGTTGTCTTCAGACCTGGCAAAGTGTTGAGGATAAAGTTCAAACTTTATTGTTCTTGAAATAGCCAATCAGAAAGTTGCTTATCTGTACTCAGCTGGAGCTGTGATTTGCTTTGTGTCTTTGCAGGTAGTCTCTCTGCCCTGGTGTACCAGCACACCATTTCTGCGTACGCCTTACCCTGCAGATTATGCCTCTACTGCCACGGTAACTGAGCCTTTGTTATTACTGCACACACACACCAGGGGTAGGCAACTCCAGGCCTTGAGGGCCAGTGTCCTGCAGGTTTTAGATGTATCCTTGTTCCAAAACAGGTGATTCAAATGACCTCCTCAACATGTCTTGCCGTTCTCCAGAAGCCTGGTAACGAACTAATCATTTGATTCAGGTGTGTTGACCCAGGGTGAGATCTAAAACCTGCAGGAGACCAGCACTTAACTTTTTTAGTGCTGAGACTTAATAAAGAATAAATAATAAAAGTAATCTTCATGTTTGAAAACTATCAGATTGTCTTAAACCTGCATCCTTTCCAAGGTTTGCAAACAATATTGGTTCATAAACATTGAAATAATGGAGTTTGACTTTTTGTTTTAAAGTGTATTTCTAAAGGGGCCTTTAACATATTTCCTTCAATATAATGAATCGACTGCAAAGGACAACTGCTGGGCCCTGAGAGCGACAGATACCTGCAGAAAGAGACTATGTGAGAGAGACTGAACTATCTGGAGACAAAAGCAGCTGTAGACAACCATTCATACTATATAAAGATATTTTTGAATGACGGCTTAATTTCAGTCATATTAGCTCGAGCTGAACTTAACAGTGATCGAGTCTGAGCTTTTAGGAAAGGGTTAAAAAGAACTGCTGGGAATTAAGCTTTTTAAGCCAAGGCCTGATCAACTCTGTGCTTTAATCTGGACCTCAGGAAAGCCAGGAGATTGTTCTGCAGACCTCAGTGACTTTGAAGAAGTGTACTGGTTCAAAAGATCAGAAAAGGTATGAAGGTGCTAATTCCTGCAATGCCTTAAAAACAAACAATAAAATCTTAAAGGCAATTCAGAAACTGACTTAGTAACTGTGCTGCAGCGTTTTAGGCCAGCTGCAGTCGGGCTCAACCTGTAGTTTCAGGTAATACTGAATAAAATATTTAGTTCATTTTGTAAATCATGATCATCATCAGTCACAAAGGAGGGTTCTCCAGGATATACTTATTGGCTAATAACCTGTCAATCACAAGATGCAAGTCAATGAGTGAGCAATGTCCTCAGTCAGCTCCAAGCCACACTTCTTATGTGGTGCTGACAACCAAAATTACCCTTTCGACCAATCAAAATGATGGACACAAACCAATGAGTGGCATCACTGAGGTCATGACCATCCCTTAGATATAGTCGATTGTGTTTTTCTGTCTGTGTCAAAGATAACGAGGTAGGAAGGCGTCCTCACTCAGACGCTTGGCCTTTCTCACAGTAGGGCTACTTTCCAAACCAAATTCTAACAACTAAAACTATTTTGGAAAGAAGATAAAAGCCAAACTAAATGAGAATGTTTCTTCAAATTATGGATTGTCGGGTTATCTTTCTCACGTCAGAGACAAAAAGCAGGAACAGATCCTAACAGAGTGCGGCTCCAGCGACCACAAGCTGGCAACTGAAAAAAGGAAGAAACAGTAATGCAGGGAAACCAGGGGTGTTTCCAAGAGTCTGCTAATGTACTGGCAATGAGCAGAAAACTGAAACATGACACTAAAACAGATCTTTACTTGAACAAGTTCTATTGTGCTTTAATGCCACATTAAAAAAAAAAAAAAAAAAAAAGCAGAAATATTCCCAGCAGAAGAAGAACAGGGACAACTTGCTGCTCAGTATTGACAAACACGCCCCCAACATCAGGGACAGACACCACGAACACTGGAAAAAACATTAATGTTGAATCAACTGAAAGTGTCATTTCTAAGTCATTTGGTGTTACTGTTGTGCCAGTAAAGCCCCTCAAATTCAAATAAAAAACTCAAATCTTATCTGTCTACACAGACCTGAGATCAGCAGAGGAGAGAGCAAAAGAGAGAGCACCTTCAGAGGACGACAACAAAATAGGTGAGTCCATGTAACGCCCCAACAACTGACTCTGTTTGGGCATTTTTAGATAAGTAGTACTGGCCTGTGCAGGACCTGGCCTGGTCCAGAGTCCAGGATTTGGGGAAGACTTCTTTGCCTTTGCCAAAATAAAGACAAACTGGACATTTTCTGTCAGATCACAATATTAAAGGTATTAAAAAGTGGACCTTTTCTAAGCAGCAAACACTGATGATAAGTTATGATTTAAGATATGATTAAATGCATAATTTTGCACCAACACTCCAAAAACTAGGACAGGGTTAATTTAAAATTAAGCTAATGGAAACACAGGTTAGTGTGACCTAATATAGCGCAGCTGCAGGTTTCCTTCTGTTCACCACAAAGCTGTACCTGTGCTTCAGCACAGCCAGGGTCAGAGTTAAACTCCAACAAATTAAACTCTAAAATAAGCAGTAACAGGAGTCTGACCAACAGAGTTATGATAGAGTTAAGAAGAGTTAAGAAACCAACAACAATTAACCCCCTTGCATTCAACCTTTTCCTGTCCTGCGGTTATAAACACTACTGTTCTGCTCTGCAGCCAAGCAGGAAATGCTGATATTACCGTGTCCCACCGACTTGTTATCTGAGGTTTGCTCACAAACATCGAAAGCCTGGTTTGAGGGTTTGCACATCGCTTTTATCTGCAGAATATAAAGTGTTGCTTTTACCTGCACCCCTGTTTTCATGTGCATTGACTTCCTGAGCAAACAGCGTGACTGACTGTCAGGCAGTTTGACTTGCCACAGCCGTGAAGCCTCTCACAGGTGGTAATAATACCTCTTCTCGGTAAAGAGCTACGGCGTTAGAGATGCTGCTGATTTCACGCCACAGCCACGTGTTGCTTCATCAGTGAGAGTTCAAAGACCGAACTTTTCTTTTAAAGTCTGAAAAACTCAGGATATTATTAAAAACACTTAGCGTCGTCCTGAAGGCTTTTCCACATTCCTCAAAGTCTCCTTTCACTAAGTGGGAGAAAAATGTTCAGGCTTTGAAACATTCCAGCTGTTTTGGCTCAAGTCCACTCAACCAGGCAGGCAGCCATCTTTGTTTCGACACAGATAAATGGAGGACAAAGTATCCCAAAATTTTATTTACTTCGGTGAAATACTGAGAGATTTCTCAACAGAAAAATAAATAAATGAAGTGAAAATATATAATCCTCCAAAGCAACAAGACAAACTTTATAGTCTCCTTTATTAACACACAAACATGGGGAGTCTGAGGACATTCCTCAGCGCTTCTTACTTTCTGACAACACTCCCTTCTGTACTTAAAGTCTCCCAGTGGCAGAGTCGAAACAACCCCTCATCTCTGTGTTTAACAAGTGTGTTTGTTTGTCTTGTCAACAGCCTCCAACTTTGTCTACCTTAACGCCATCCCCACTGAGATGCTGACGGGCCCCTGTGCAGTGCAAAGGGCGGTGTCCTCAACACTCGAGAAGGCTCCGGGTTCCTTCACACCAACCATAGTCAACATGAAAGTGTCTCTGAAGGGTGTCACTCTCACAGACATCAACAGGAAGTAAGAAAACACATGAAATCAACGTGTTGCTGAGATTTTATGCGCTGCCGTGCTGTTTAGGTGTGGTCTGTGTGTGACACTGGGTCAAGACTCATCGTTTCTTGCAGGCTCTTCTTCAGGCGCCATTACCCTGCACACATGCTGAGCTACGGTGGTGAAGATCCAGACAATAGAGTGTGAGTATGCACGACATGAGCTGCGAGCGCAGACGTCAGAGATCATCTCCACTGATGGTCATCAACGTGTTTCATTTCTAATCTGAACATTTGTCTGTCTTATACTCACAGGTGGACGAGAGGTTCAAGTTTTGGTGCAAGGTAACCTGAACTTCAAGTCTAAACAGGGGACCTGTTCTGTTCATTTACACATTTTAGCTGTATTAGTGTAGCTTTGCATCAGCAGCAGCTCAAAATAATCCTTCTTTATCTTACACTGTGTCTTGGTGCAGGAACTCAGTTCATCCTCTTTCTGAAATAAGGTGTTTCAGTCAGCTCCTCCCTTTTAAGCCAGCTTTTTTCTTATTGGCTGCCCCTCATAAATCAATTGTTTGAATAGGATGTGGGTGGGGCTTCTATGAATACTACTGAGAACAATATATTTGACAGTAAATAATGAAAAGCAGAAGAGGTCCCTTTGAAAAATATCTTCTTCTTGGGGTGCAGATTAATCTGACTCATGTTTCTTTGTGCCGACAGGTTGTTTGGCTTTGTGGCAAAGGGCATTGAAGCCGGTATGGAGAATGTTTGTCACGTATTTGCAGAATATGACACCCTGCAGCCCTGCAGCGAAGTCATCAAGGTGATTCAGGCAGCTGTATCCAAGCCATAAACATGCAAACCCAGAGACGGCGTGATACATCTTCAAGACTCCTGCTTACACTTTCTGTTTAACACTGTGCTCTTCTACAAATAACCTGTCCAGTAAGGTGGTTACAGGAAGTGTCGCTACTGCTTTGGAGAAAACTGGACAAGTTTGTGTTTCTGCTGAATTGCAAGGAAAACCTGATTTAGGTTCCGGTGTTTGATCAGATGATAAAAATCATATTAAAAGATATATGAGTGATTATGGCAAAAATTAGGATATAGTGGACTGCACCTATAACATGATTGTAAATGAATGAGGCGCCATAGTTTGAATATCATCCAATCAGCTTGTAAAAGCGGTAAAACAAAGCCAACTATTTCTTTTAAGACTGCTGAGAGAACAGTTGTAGATGTGAGAAAGCGGCACGCTATGTCTTCATAAGAACAGGAGCCCTTTTCCCAGAGAGGCGAACGTGCATTATCTGATGCATCGAAATATAGTGATGTGGTAATTAAAAGTTTGAAGGTGAAAAGACTTGAAGAGAAACAAATGAACCCTGGTAGGTCAGTTCATTTCAAATTCTGCAGCTACCCCTGAATGTATTTATTACACTGCAATGCACTGTAAAAACTTTATTCTCTGTATATTCGTGGATTTTTATTTTTGTTTTTCATGATGGAAAATAAACATTTTTAACTATTCATATGTTAATAGTGTGTGTGAAAATAATAAAGAAGAAGAAGCTTTATTTTGGACGTGACAGAAAACACAACAGTCTGCACATATTTCTGTGTTTTATTTGAAATGATAAATCTTTAGATAAAAGCATAATGCTTCATTCAAATGAAGAGTGTGCTTCCTGAAGCAAAGCAAAACCAAGTACAGAACTGCATAGGTAATTTTTTTAAATATTCTCAACATATCTTAAGGGACCCAAATGCAAAGCTCAGCGGTCCGCTTCTTTTATATATATATTTATCTTTGGTGCCAACTCAAAAGATAGCATAAAAACTTGAGTCTAAGGTGCAACAGGACGTGTTACAGGACCGAGTGGAGCACTGAGAACACACTGCAGTGGTAACTATTTACAAACACTGCCCTCCTCTGGTTAAGACGGGGAATCTAAATTCTCACTGCTGTTTAGTTCACAGTGAGTATCACACAATAACGCCATAGCAATATATATTATTGTATTCTTTTTAAATCCCCACACAGAGGATTAACCGCAATGACAAAAGACCCTCAGAGTAAAAGAAACTCTTCTTTCAGTGCTGTGAGTGTCTGCAGTGCAAAGCAGGAAGGGACTGTATGAAAATTAGCGGACACGGAGCAAGGCTTTACTTTAAAAGCAAAGTTTAAGACACTCATCTACACATTTGATGTTATATGTACCTGAAATCGTCAGAGATGGTTATAATGTGGAAATTGAAGTAAGTTGCACTGAAATGTGACCTGTTATTGTGCATGATCTGTGATCTGTAGTTGCGTGAACTTGTTTGAACTATCTGCTGCTGTTTTGAAAAAGAGATGTTACTGTCTTTTATTGGGATAAATAAAGGATGTCATTTAAAAATGTATATAGATCTATTAGATTAGTTAGAATGATTTTTCCATCAACCTTTTTTTTTTCTTTTTACATTTTTTAATTAATTTTTAAAAATGAATCTGTGATCTGTGCAGGACTCCGCCTTTCAGGATGACCTCTTGAATCGTGGCACATTCGTCTATTTGCAAACAAGCTTTTTTAACCCCCCGTCTCAGTGCTGGAATCCCAAACATTCTGTTTCCATCTGTTCTGTTTCTCTTTCACCTCAGAGTCATCCTCACTACAGACTCCTCTCACCTGAAACCCAAAGGTGACCTGGTCTTTCTGTTTTTGCCCCCCCACAGTCTGGACCCGTCTGATATGTCCAACAATTGTTAAATCGGTTCTATTTGATGATCTCTTATTATTTTTTAAACTCATTTTTTAAATTCATCTGTAAGAGCCAAAGTCAATGTTTATGTTTTTCCTTTTTGTTTTGGTGGCACAGGTGTATAGCTTTACCTGCGTCTCAGGTGATGGTATGTGGGTGTGGTCACAGTCTATTTACCTGATGTCGGTGTTCGCAGCAGGTGTGTGGGGTGAGTGGGTTGTGGGCAAACTTTTCTGTTGACCGTCATTTTTTGGCACACCAGTTAATCCATGCGCTAGTTGTAAATTGATTGAAAGCGCAAATGTTTGTTTTTGTTTTGTTCTTAAAATAAATGCGCAAAGTACAACTACGACTCATTATGGATTATTGGAGGCGCGTCACAGGGACACAACCAACTCAGCCGGCCGCGGCTTTATCTACAGATGAAAGTCGCAACATCATCATTAGTATTTGTTATTAATTTTGATTTGTGTTTTTTTAAATTCTTTTTATATTTTTCCTGTCGCTGTTTTATTCGCTACCTTTTGATTTCTCACCTGATCACCTGCACTTCCTGCTCAGTACTGCCTCTAACGCATCCATTTTTATACACAGAATAACTGAAAAGCACTTTGGGGCTGCCCATAAAGAACTGGGCTGTTCATTTGGTCTTCCTTTGGGTCAACTTCTGTTTTTTTCAAGTGTGCTGCACGATTAAAAGTTACCTGATGGGACTGGATGTCCATCTACTAACCATCCAGTGTTAACGAATATCGGCTGGTTAATAGACGTAGGTTTAGCTCTCAGATGGCCCTCCTAAAAATCTGATTAGGCCACAGGTTAAACTAACTGGTGCCTAATGCAGGAGAAACATTTGAAAGCCATCACAGTGATTCTTTTGTCCATCATGTGACTTTCAGTAGAAGTTTTCCTTCTCAGATTTTTTCTTTTGCACTTTGTAAACTCTATTTTAAAAGTGCTATTTAAATTACACTTTGATTGCATTTTTATTTCAGTCAGAATAATATCAGGCGGCTTCTTTGGTCAGTGTGTACGTTTTTTTGAAAAATGGTGCAAATTGCACTTTTGTAACAGATAAAAATTTCTCCCAGTGCAGAAACCTCACGGTGGAAGGATTAAAGACTAACACTGTCTTCTAAATTAAATGCTAATGATCTGATGAGAAAATAACTTTCACGTGGTCACCGATGCACATATCAAAAGGGAAAATGGCAAATTTCCCAAATTCTTCCATCAATTTTCCAATTCTGATCTATTTATTGATGTTTTTACACACGTTTTGCTCTGGAGTTGAACAATTCTGCGACATTGACAAATTTTATGTGTCATTCCTACAAAAAAACAAATAAAAAACAAAACTTTGTAATTTTCATACAGCCCCTCACAGAAAATCTACCAAAACATGAAAATCCACTCTTAGGTAGTTCACAGCAGCTCTTAGTGCTGTGTCTCCATCCATCCAAGTCTACCTGTGCTCTCAGCTTCCTGTACCAGGTGCTAATCAGGGTTAAATGCTGTAGTTAAGCAGAGTCATTGTTATGATGTCTTTAATCCAGTGAAACCTAACTGAAACAAAGTGTTCAAAGAAAGCTTTTCTTCATCTAAAATGATGACGCAGAAATATGTTTTACATATTAAATACTTATCCTCTGTGAAGTAATGACTGTAAGTCTTTCTGACACTATAAAAATGGTCACCACAAAAGCCTGATGGTTAATGATCGTCCTGTCAAAGATGAGATCTGATGGGAGCTCATCAGCTAAACTTCAGATTAAGCACGATGGTGACGGGTGGTAACGTGCCCACCGTCGCGGCACAAATGTTATTTCTGTTACCGCAAACCGGTGTCAGCTCGGGCCCAACGGTGAGCGAGTTACTGCGTGATGGTCGGGATGCTGCGGGATCTCTTCATGATGAGACGCACCTCCACGTCGGGGAGGCTGTCCTGTTTAGTTTGGGCGCACCCCTCGTCCGCCGCGGCCATGTGCAGGTCGAAGCGCAGCGACACGGACTTCTTCCTCAGCTTGGGATTCCCCCTGAAGAAGGAGCCCTCCCACTGCTTTATCACCTTATCAATCTTCTCTGTCCTGGTGAGAGACGTTGGAGATGTTGGTAATAAACGGTGAATATGCAAACTGTAAACAGATTCTGTGAAAAACGTTATCGGGCTCTTTACGTTTCTTTTGTTTGTGCAATGACTCATCTTCTCTTTGAATTTGAAAATCTGTCTTTTCATCTAAGTGTCATTCATTCATTCTCATCCTTGCTGAGACAGATAGAGCCTGCAGGGGGCAGCGACGGAGAGCGCTGATGCTAAAATGTGCTGAGCTTGAATTGCCCTAGATGTGGCCTTTGATAAGACATGATGTGAAACATAAAGAAGATACGCCCTCACTCTGTATTTTAATCATGATATAACACATCATTTTGTATCCTCATCAAACTATTTTTGAAGGCTTTTGATATTCTGGGAGACAGTCAATCAGCTTTCCATTGATTTACAGTGACCCTTCCTTTTAAAGAGACAAGTAGACCCAAGCCGTGTCAGCGAACTGCTCTGAAACTGCACAACAGAGCCTCTGGATCCTCTCATGCTAAGGGTTATTTGGGGCTTCCTTTAATTTGTCTGCACATTCATAATGATACAACTGTCTGGGAGGGAGGGAGAGAGAGAGACCTTGCCTCAGCCCACTACTGTACTTTAAAGTGTGTCACAGCTGAAACAGGGTCAACTAACAGAGTGGTAGAAAACTGAAACACAGAGGTTGCACATTTATGTGTGTTTGTTTTGGTTTGTTTTTGTGTCAGATGGTTTCCAAAGTGGGTTCGATAGTTTCAGTTTCATCTTTAATATTTTAACATGTCAGTTTTATTTAGTTTTGATGGTTTAAGCGTTTCTGTCGTTTTAGCTTATTAAAATATGGGTTTTACGTTCGGGGGTAGACTCAAACAATTCAGAATGCATATAAATGCAAAAGTAAAGGGAAATTATTTGACGTTGGTTTAAAATAATAACAGTTGATTCTGTTCTGGACATGTTGTTTCACCACACATCCAAGTGACTTTTCAGTCTCTGCTGGCTGCAGGTTTCCTTATAAACAGAACATCTGCATAATGACTGAAACCAGCAACACTGTGAGGTCAGTTTCATGATCATTAATATGTAAATTGCCATGACTACTGATCAATGGTCATATGCACCATTCACCATTCACAGCATTGTAATATGGTGAAAGATGTACCCTTAGGCCTCCTCCTCGATTTCCATGTAAATGTGTTCCTTGACTCCCCAGTCAAACCAGCGTTCCTCCCACTGAAAACGCTACATCCAGATAAACAGATTTTTTTTGGGACCTCCTCACCTGGATGATTGAGCATGCATCAAGACAAGTTTTCACAGGACTGCTTCCAAGTAACAGCCCATTACTGCTAATCAAATCCACTTGATTTAATCATCAGCACCTCTACAAACACAGTTGTGAGTGATGCCGTAAAAGCAGAGGCTTTGACAGTTTGATGGTCTGGAGCAATGATGTGTGTGTTAACATAATGACAAAGAAAGCCCACAATGATCTCAGACAAGCAATCGTTGGTGCCCATCATTCTGGGAAAAGTTATCACACCATTTCCAAACAATGTGAAATCCTTTGCTCTACTTTCACAAGTGGAAAACATTAACGTTGTCCGTTTTCCCAGGAGTGGACGCCGCAGCGAATCCACACCGAGGTCGGACGTGCAGTGCTCAGAGAAACTGCAAAAAACACAAAAGCTCCAGTTTAGACCCCACAGGCCTCAGTCAGCAACTTGAATGTTAAGGTTCATGAGAGTTCAATTAGAAATAGACAAAACAAGTATGACTTGTTTGGATGGGTTGCCAGGAGAAAGCCTGATCTCTTTTAAAATCTGTAGATGTTCTGGATAAAGTGAAAAACAAATTTAGTGGTGAGGGCTCGTCTTGATAAACAAAACAAAAACCAAACAAAAGAAACCAGCACATATAAAAAAAATAATTCACTCCACCTAGATCCCAGATATCCCATGCCGATCACATGTTTTTAATTGCTTCAGCCTGCCCACGGTTGCTTTTGCATCTGCATCCATCTCTCGTCCGTTGTGACTGATGCAGACTCTTTTATTCGCTGGGATCTCGCTGCTGCTTTTCCCACATCAGATGGAAATAATCACTCCTGATTGAAATGTAATATTTACTCTGCTTGAAGCTTTGTGTTTGATCTACACCTTTTCTTTTTTCCTAGCAGCCCCTTGCTTCACTGTTTGACCAGCTACTCCCTAATTGTGTCCTTGGCTGTCTGGTCTTATCAGGCAGTACGGAGCAGGTTTTTCAGAGCTTTTCTGCTGGGAACAAGTGTCTGCCTGGACTAGAAACGAGCTTCTATGTAAGGTCAAACAAATTAGCCATGCACTAAAAGGCAGTGTATAAGCAGGGTGAAAGACATCAGGTGATAGTTGTCTGTAGATCGTTCACTGTGATTGATTGATGGATTGTTAATCTAAAAATGTCTTGGCAATTATCTCCTAGTATACTAGTAATTTGAAGTCTGCAGTTACAGACGAAACACCAGTTTGCTCAGTAACTGCAGACAGACGCCTCACTCAGGGAGTAGCTCTGTGCACTGCTTTGAAGTTAAGAGCCGCACACTAGTGGATATTTCAGGCTCTGGTCACCTAGGTTACGCTAATGTATCAACAGCCCGTCATATATCAATCAGTCACTTTTCCTGATGTTGGTAGCTGTCGCCAGTAGTTATCTTACCCTTCATCACTTTCAGTCACTGAATGTCATTGACTTTCTCTGCTGTTGCCACATCACTGCGATCACTTCCTTTGCTCCTGACAACGCCGATTAGTTTAAACAGACAGTTTTATTTAGTTCTTGTTCATTTTTCCATTTTTTGTGGGAATGTCTTTCAGCTCTTCATCACACGTTTCGAACATTTAACCAGCATGAAACTGGAATGTGACACAACAGTCAGCTGCTGACATCAGCCTAATCTTATTTGCCAATCAAATATGCACACATAAGTCAGCAGGGTGCATTCTTACTTGTTATCTTTAGAGAGGGAAGAAGGGCGAGGTTTAGTCTAATTAAAAAATAACAAGGTCAAACTATGCAAGAGGCCCTCCCAGCAATAGCACAACAAAATAGTAAACACGGGTCGTCCATCTTTGATGTGGGCAAGCGCGGTCACCTGCAAAATGTAGAAAATAACAGGATCTTTGAAGCAAACAACAGCGCACTCAGGAGAAAGTGTGAGGACATGACCGATAGTTGCTGGGCTGGCAGAGCAACTGCGTCTCTTTGCATCTGCGGCTCTCTGAGGACATTATGCAAGCGTGTATGCGTGGCTGTGTCTCGGTCTGGTAATACCTGAAGCACGAACAAAGATTTCCACCCATGTCTCGTCCAACAATAACAGGTGTCACGCCCTGAAGCATGCATACCGGGCGAGTACCTCCACATCAAACACAGGCCATTAAAGGAGGAGAATTCCCATGCAACCCAGTGAGGAATTACTCATGGGAACTTGTGAGCTAAATGTTTTTGTTTCTCCTAACTCGTTCGATGTGTGAAGGTAATTCTTCTGTTCGCCTAGACGTCGCCGGGGAGTGGAGTATGATGACTGCATGCTTGTGAACTAATATAAAGACTCTAATTGAAATGTGTTAAAGCTTCAGGAGATTACATGAGTAAGATGTTTTTGCAATAGGGATTTATCTGTGTGATGTAATTAGCGGTTACTATTAGAAAATGCCTAGGTTTCAGACTGAAGCAGAAGCACTGACTGCAGGCCAAGTGGGAGCACAGCGATCAATACTTACTCAATGGTGCCGTGACCCTCCGCGCTTTCTTGCACCACATTGCCTTGAAGAATCTCCTGAGTCTTCACAGTGGAGATTGGCAAGTCCTTATCTAGTTCTGGCTCTGCGAGAAGTCGTTAAAGATAAACCATAATAAGAAATGACTGCAACAAGTAGGCGTGTCACTACTTTTCCATCAATAAAGAGGAATGCACCGAAATGATGAGACGTCAGCTTTTTGGCCAAAAAATAAGATTACCGATGCGACCCAAAGACATTTACATATCATTTGTTCCCATGGAAATTACCTGAACCTCTCCTTTGAAGCTGAACATAACACCGGGCTCATGTTACACACTATATTTGCCTGTTCTATATTTATACAGTAATCAAAATGTCCCGCAGCATATTTGCAGAGCTTTTTGTTATTTTTTCCCTGTACATTCAAGTCCATTGACATCTCTTGTAGTATTCCCCGTCTGCCTGCCTGGTGTCCTGTGTTTAAGTCCTTTTAAGGGTTTTGGCTCAATAAAAAGAAAAATGGAGGAATGGCGGCTACATGGTGGCTATCTTTCTGTCAGTATGATGTGAGATGTCCCACTCAGTGCTGCACAGCTGATTTTTCTGATGAGGCCCATACACTGTATATAAAAGATGGACATAGCCACTGTGACGTTACCTGCCGGTTTTGGTGTTAGCATTTAAGCTACTGTGTTGGTTTCTGGAGCCAGAAGTCACCATAATTAAAAAGAAATAGGTTGGAGTGCTAAATTCTAACGCTATCGAGCTCTGTTAGCTTCATCAATATATTTTGCAGACAAAACACTAATTCCCACATAGCAAAATTTGTATGGCCCGGATCTGGCCCACACAATATGCTTACACATTCTTTGCACATACCGCAAAGAATGACGGCCCTTTGGTGGCCCAGATCTGGTTTGCCAGAGGTGGCTCACACATGGGCGCACAAGGCCTAATGTGTCACATTGGCTCATTTAATTATGACACACTGTATGAGAGACACCTTAAATCAAAGAGGGACTGGTTTGCTCCGCACAGCGAGGTAAATGTGTGTCTTACCTGTGAGTATCACCAGGCTTCGCTGTCTGTACAGTATGCTTTTCTTCAGCCCATTTTCTGTTGGGAGGAGTGAAGGTATGTCAGGGAGGGGCTCTGACTTGGGTTCGTCGGGAGTAACGGCGAGGTCACTGAAACCATTTTCAAGTCCATTCTCCTTTGGCTCCACGACTGAAGACCTCCATGGCCGCAGAACCATCGGCTGTGCAGTACGACCCATGTATCTGCAGGCACATGAAGACGTAAAGATGTGTAATATATGTACGACTCGGACGGCGGGAGGGATCTGTGGCGGCACTATATCCCTTGAAGTCTGATTGTTTCCATGTTTGACACCAAGTTGTCATATCATGAGTTCACAGTTCTTTACTTTCGCTTCTCTGTAGAATAAAGGATACAGCACCTATGGTTGTAACCAGACTGCTGGTCGTTAGCTCTCCGCTCTGCGTTCATATCCACAGTAATGTAGAAGCCACGACTGCTAATACATGTTTATGCAGGCAGGAGGTCTGTCTCCAATTAAAGCCATTATAACTTCCTGAAGTTACTACTAATTTTCAAGTCGTTTGATACTTCCATACCACCCCAACTGCTTCTTAGTCATCTGCTTTCATTATGTCATTTTAATTCCCAGGAAATTCCCATCCTTTATGCTAATGTGAAACGAAAAGCAGATTAGCTGAAGACTGTGGGAGGATAAACACAGAAAAGGCAAAAAAAAGTATCAATTTAAACAAGTTTGGCCAACTGGAAACACATGAACAGGTTTAATAAAAAACAACTGAATGGAATTTTATTCACAACAAGGTGCTTTATACTGTAAAGAAACCCCACCAAACAATCCTCTAAGAGCAAGCACGTGGCAAACATAAAACCAGGCCTCAAACCAGCACCTCTGTTAGGGCTGTCAAAAAGGAAATCCTCAGATGTTAATCCGTACTAAAAATTGCTTTTAGATGTTCCAAAAAATTTGATTCTGTTCACCTGGACGTAGAGTTTTCAGTGGGAGAAACGTTTCGTCACTCATCCAAGTGACTTCTTCAGTCTCAGCCGACTGCAGGTTTCCCCAATCTTACAAATTGGAGGTTCATTTTCAACTATGCACACAATTTGGAAAACACGAAGCTCATGAAGTGTAACAGTAACATCACTCAAACCCCATTTCCCAGTCTCGCTCAGATGTCATCATTCTGCACACACCGGACATCAAAATGTAACATCCTGACTGCCAATTAGCCTCGCTCATGTTGCGCCTGTTTAAACTCCGCTGGAAGAACAATTCAGTGGGTGAAACGAGCACAAATGAAGAACGTAACGTCACACTTGGAAGGCGGATGATGAATATGAGAATCAAAAGAACTGGAAATTATAATAAGTCGTTTAAAAAATATATAGCCATTAAAACACGGTTTGATGTTTTTACCACACGAGCGTTTCTTTGATGTTCTATAAGACATAAGCATAGAACAGCAGTGTGTATTATTTTGGGGGGAGGATTCAGTTTGAATAGAGAGAGCGTTGTTTTGAGGCCTTTGATGTGTGGAGTTTTGACAAAGCAGTCTGTATTCAGAGTTTGGAGAAACTGAGCCACAGTTTCTAGAAATTTGGGAACTATTATCAGCAGAACTACCTTTTTCTGACATTACTGTTGGTAACGTTGCGCTATCATTTTAAAAAGTTTGCTTTGTGTTTTGCGTACTTGTGAAGGTTGGCAGATGTTAGCATGCTAACAGTGAGTTGGACAGACCATCCAAAGTGTGTGCTCAGGTTGTGAGAGCAGTTGGAGCCAAATGATGCAGCACAGTGCAATGTGTCCTACAACCTCACTGACACACGAGCATGACTTCTGTTGTTGTTATTTAACAATTCATCTGCGATATTAACACAGTGTGGTGCAAAAGACAATGGTGATGTATTCTCTGGACTGAGCAGATGATCTAAAAGTATTGTGGCGCGACCTTTCAGAATCATCTTTTGTGCTTTTATTCGGTAAATACCCATTTCACAAACCTCAGTGGTTTTATGTGCTGAAGCTTCAGTGAGACTTGTTTTTAATGCATGCAGATGCTCTGCTCTCTCATTTTTTCTTGTTTTCTTGTGTTTTATCCCACTCAATGCCGCCCTTCTCAAATATGACTAAACAATAGAAATTTCATATGCGTCCTGCCCGTCCTTGCATCATCGTCATTAATCTAAAGAGATTAGACAAATCAAAGGCAGCACTCCACTCTGCCCGTAACCTATGTGGCATAAAGTCAAAGTGATGTCTCCTAGCTATAAAACGTCAGCAGTGCGGTTGATGCAGCAAATGTGTTGAAGCATCTCAGAAGAGTCTAGCGTCCAAATGGAAGGAGATAATTAAAGGCCCCGTCAGGTGAGCTGAATATTCCCCTATAAAACAACTTGGCGCTTGCAGAAAAAGCCAGACAAAGACGCCTCTACTGTCTGGATTCTGTCAGCTCATGTAATTAAAGACACAGCTGGATTTTCAGGCTATGAATCGGAGAGTTTGTCATCTTCATTTCAGTTTAACAGAAATGTTTATGTGCCACTATGTTGTGTGGGCGGAGAGCAGGGCCTGAGTACGTCTCAACTTGCAATTATTGTGGATTTTGAATTTGTATTCAGGTAAATTCAATATAATCCAAAAGATAAAGGTTAAGATTTGAAAGTGTCAACTCATAAAAGCTTGACAGCTCAAGTTAAAGAAAACAAACAAGAAGTAATTTTGTTTACTTTGTGCATTACTTCTGACAATGACGCTTCTAACTTGCTCACGGCACTAAAGCGCGTGCCAAGTTTGTCAGACTCTGCTGCTTGATGCGCGATCTTTTTCTTTTTCTCAAGGAAGACATTTCATTAAACTGTAAAGACAAGGAAGAACTCTAAAACCACAAAATTCCAGCTCAAACAACCCTCCTGTCTTCTTTTAAGATTCCTCGCCCTTTGTCTCGCGCTCACCTTCCCTCCTCGCGCTCCAGCAGACGGCGGTAAGTAGCAATCTCTCTCTCCAGCCTCATCTTAGTGTTGAGAAGCTGATTGTGGCGCTGACGCTGGGTGGCCAACCCGCTCCTCACCTGCTCGAGCTCGCTCTCCAGCCCAGCGATCACCTGGGAAAGATCCTGCAGCTGGCTGGAGTAGAGCCTCTGGGTGTGCTGGAGGGACGTTTCCAGGCCTTTCTCCTAGACGCCAGAGAATAAAGACCTGTTTGGATCATGACTTGATGGTCTTTGTTTTCTTAAAAAGGAATGCAGTGAATTCAAAATGATATTAAATAAAACAATTTTACAAATTCACCTAAATATATCAAGACTTTTAAAACTTTAGTGTCAACAATGAAACGAAACGCTTTAGCGCTCAGAGCTCTCCAGATGGAGCGGTTAGACGACGGAAAACTCAGCGTTTTTAAATTTAAGGGGGATTCTGTGCAGCTTTTTAATTTATCATCAACCAGCAAAATTAAAGTCATGACTCTTTTTCCAGTCTTAATAATTAGGTGCTTCTAGAAAGCATTGTACATAGAAGAGGAAATGTTACGCTGCTCTGTGTATCAAATTGACAAGGCTAAAAACTTAGTTAGGGCTGGATCAGGTGACTAGCAGTTTAATGCTTGTTTTATGCTGTTCTTGTCTTTCTATGCTCCTCTCTTTGTCTCCTCACCTTCAAACTGTTCATAGCAGACTGCTCTTCCTCCCTAAGCCTCTGTCATGGTCCTGGGTCAGTGACCCAGCGCTTTAAGTTTATTATTATCATTTTCTAGTTTATTATTATGATGATGATTATTGTTTGAGTTCTAAGTGTTATATTCGGTCTGCCTCTGAGTCTGCGTCTGTATCTCTGTCTGTCTATGGTGTCACCCCGTCTGTCTATACCCCGTCTGTCTATGGTGTCACCCCGTCTGTTTGTGAATCTGTCTGTTCAGTTCAGCGTCTTGTCTGGTTCCCTGTGTCTGAGTTTCCTGTTTTATTGTGAAGGTCTGTGTCTTATGTGAGTGTGCTGAGTTTACGTTTCCCTGTCTCGTCAGCTGTGATTTCTCCCAGGTGTGTTCCCCTCCTGTCTCTCATCCCTTGATTACTGCAGTCTGTGTATTTAAGCCCTGTGTTTCTCTGTGTTAGTGTCGTACCTTCAACTAGCTGTGTGTTCTGCTTCCGTGTGTCTAGTGTTTCAGTCCTCAGTTCCACTATTACGACCTTTATTTTCTTTTAGTGAGTTTAGTTTGTACGAGGTTTCTCCAAGCAATAAAGCTGCGCTTTAAGTCTCACTTCCGTGTCTGAGTTCTGCATTTTGGGTCCACCACTCCTGCTTGCCTGCCTGCCACACAGCCAACCATGACAGCCTCGTTCTATTGAAGGTTTCTTCCTGTTAAAAATGAGTTCTTCCTTCCCACCATTGCCAACCCACAGTTCACAGGGGTTTGTCTGATCTTTAGAGGGTTTTTTCTAATTCCGTGGGTTCATTCACATCCATAATGTAAAATTGCATTAAAGCAGCAGTTGGGAATTAAATAAACTGAACTGAAATTAAACTGAATGAGGTTTTTTTTTATATTCATAACTTTTACTTCTTTTTATTCCAGTTTTCATTCCTTAGATTTTCCATGAATTGCAGTTATGGAATCAGTTACACAATGTTTATGAAAGCAGCTCTGAAAATGAAGAAATAATAATAAAGTATCGTTGATTGAAAGATAGAAACCTTATGCATATCTTGGCACAGATGTATTAAAACTCCCTTTAGTTGCTAAATTGAACCATTACGCAAAAACAGTATTTTTTCTTGTTATTGTCGTCTTTTCACAGGCAGTCTGCCGTGTGGTGTTGAAGCAGTGTTAACAGTGTGAATGATAACTTCAGATATTTGTTTTTTCTTACCAAAGCATGTAGGGTCTCAATCTCCACTTGCAGCGAGTGCCACTGCTTCCTGGCCTCGGCTAGCTCGGCCCGTGCCTCCCTCAGGGCGGCGCCGCCGAGGCTCACCTGCGCCCACGCTGCCTCCTCCTGCACAACGAGAGGGGAGCCAGATGTTTAAAGAGGTGCGAATCCCAGCACCACCACCCTCTTCGCCAAACACTCACACACCTACCTATTTTTCCCTTATAGAACACACTCAAGTGGTTTCATATTTGTGTTAATGTAAAGTAGCTGATGAGATGCAATTGTTGGGTTTAATATCTGTACTATATAAACGAAACAGAGGCCTGTTCACACAATGACACACACACCTCATGAGTAAGTACTTTTTCCCACTGGCACTGTCAGACAACACAGAGGCGAAGCAGTCACAGGTGGTGCCTTTGGTGATGTGTGTTTCAGTGCAAGGTAAACAGACAGCGTGTACACACAGCTGTCCACACACTGTACAGCTGTGAGGCGTTTCACACCCTTCGTCCTCGCCCCGTTAAAACGCAGCAGAGCGGTGAAGCTGTCTCAGCACTTATGACAATATTTTGACAGATAAAACAAAGTTACGCAAGATACTTCCTGTATAATTTGTTACTTCACTGACTCCATTTATCAGTTGCAACAAATTTAAAAAATGATCTTTAATCAAGGAGACATTCATTTAGGGCAATATTAGCTGAAATCAGCAGCTCATTGATGATAACACCGGCAAACAAGACCTGACCTGACAGTGGATTTAAAAGGGATTACTTACATATGCTTGCATATACATAGATTTTTATTTGAAAGTTGAGCATACACTTGAAACGAGCTATATATGACACCTACATCATACACATATATCAACTATATCCAACAGAAGATAAGCACTAGCAGTAAAATCCAAATAAAAACTCTTACAGAAGAGGTTGTGTTGGTGTTGTGTTATATTACATAAGAACATATCAGTGAGTTTTTAATGGGGCCGTTATATGTGGAGCATGTTGACGCTGAAATCTGTTCTAGGAGTTAAATTATTATGTGTATTATATCACTGGGTTAACATTATTGTTCTGGAACAGCTCATTCATGTGTGTGCTTTATATACTGTTGACATGTGTTTGGGTAAATATTTGCATTTGATCTGCTTTCGTATGCGGTACATTTTTTAAAATTCTAGAGTTTTTTGTTCTTATTCCTGTTTTTGCTTTTCTTTTCATCCTGTTATGTTTTTAATTTGTGCATAATGCTGTTTGTTGCCTGGTCAGACTCACGCTTGCATACCGTGAAACATCAGTGCACCACATTCTCCTCACTTATACAACACTATGGAAAGTCTTTTCATCTTCATTTCCAGTAGCAAGAAAACTGCAGAATATGACATCATCTTGACATTATTACAGTTATACAAAGCTTGAATTGCATCTGCTGCGATTCCAATCCAGGCTTTTAAGAAAATCTAAATATAAACTTTTGTTTGTTCAGAGACAACTCCAATTGGCGCCTTTAAGCTTAAAGAGCTTTACTGTCATTGAACGTGATGACAGAAGTCATGCATGGATGGAGGTTTGGATTCTTTAGTCTATTTTGCACTCAGACTTTGACGTTTCATAAGGTAAACATTGTAAATGTTCCCGGGGACAACGAGGCTGCTCTGTATACTCTTACACGGTATCCAGACAGCTCCTCCTAAAATTAAACCTACATATTATTATATTATCTTTCTGTCTTGTGGAGCTCTTTATACTTTGTTTCAGCAACCAGATTACTGTCTCTGAAATAACCTATTACTGCTGCGCTTTTTATGTCATTTTTGGCACTTTGAACACCATAAAGTGATTGTCCAGTGTGCAGAAGCAAATGCTGATGTCTACTCAGCTAAAATCTCCAGAACCAGGCAGTTCACAATGTAGACACAGAGCGTAAACTCTGGTGTGTGCACTTAAGATCTAAAACAGATAATTATTCGGCAGAGCTGCAGAAATTAGGATAGATTATTTGCCAAATACATATTTGGCAAATAATCTATCCTAATTTCTAATATTTTTGCTTGCTTAGTTTAATTAGCAGGTAAAATACGAACAGAGGCTCCTAATGCTGTACAGGGAGTTGTGGTCCTGGGTAACGGACCGAGTGTCTTAAGTTTATAGATTTTGTATTTTTGTTTTATCTGAATGTCTGTGAAGGTTCTCAGTCATCCAGGTCATCGTAGTCAAAGGAGCTTGCAAAGAAAAGCGTCTGGACTTCTTTAAGTTGCTTGAAGACGTTTCACCTCTCATCCGAGAAGCTTCTTCAGTTCTAAGGTCAAATCTGGGACTCCCCACCATTTGACCTTAGAACTGAAGAAGCTTCTCGGATGAGAGGTGAAAAGTCTTCAAGCAACTTAAAGAAGTCCAGATGTTTTATCTGAATGTCTTCTGGCAATTCTTAGTCTTCCTTTGTTCCTTAGTTCCTGGTTATAATCTTCGGTTGTACTGTTCTTTATATATTTTTCAGTTTAGTTCCATTCTCAGTTTTTGGTAGTTTAGAGTTTAGTTTCACACTTTTGTGTAATTCCCCCATATTGTGTTCATTTGTGTCTGTTTCCCCATTCAGTTTTATTTCACCTCCTTTTTTATTTTGATAAGTCATCTGTCCTTGCGCCTTGCATTCACTTTACTTCCCCTCGTCTCATCTTCCCCATTTGTTGTGCTTCCTACAGCTGTGTCCAATTCCCATTATCCCTCAGTGTGTGTACAAGCCCAGTCAGTCCTTTGTCGGTGCATTTGTTATTCCTTCCTGTCCTGTTTCCTGGTTGGTTTGTTTTTTCCTCCTTCTGGATTTAGTTACCTTTTGGACTTTGTTTTCCTTGAACTGTCTACACGTACTCATTAAAGGTATTCTTTGAGTTTTCCACCTGCCCGTGTGTTAGTCTGACTTCTGGAGTCCACATCCACACATAACAGGACAACAAGAAGCAGTTGTCCATGTATTGATAAATCAGTTAAAGTATATTAACTGCTCACGACCCCCACAAAACAATTCATTTTAGCTACGCAAACGTCCCTTGCCTTAATTCCTACAGATTAGAGGAAAAGAAGAACTCCTCTGAAACAAGCCAAACGCAGTCTTTGAATCTTTGAATGATTTTTTATTGCCGTGTTGTCAGCTCTTGACTGCTGCATTGTGCTGCTGTTAGTGGGTCTGATGTAAACAGCAGAATTTAATAAAACCTGCCCTGATTTAGTGCCGTGGTCGCTCTCAGCCCTTGGCGAAGGCACTTTATTGTTGCTGTCAGACCAAAGTCATGGTGCTGTGGAATAATAAACAGCTTCTGGACTGTGTTTTTCCCAGAAAAGAGGCCAGCTGAGCTAAAATAAGAGTGGAAACGTCAAAACAAAACAAAGCTGCTATTACTAGACACAGGATGAGGATGCTTAGGTTGTATTTTGGGTTGTAAATATTTAATGAAGGTGAGGGATCATTCACACAGACCACCACTACTGTGTTTAGATGAAGAGAGAAAGGAGACAAACACACAATCTGCACACAAACAGGCCATATAGCAAGGAAGGAGAGGTTTCAAGCTTTTTACCCCAGTCAACAAATACCAGCGGGGCACATGCATCACCCTGCCTGTGGGACAGCCTGGAGTTGGTCCTGAGGGTGTGTCGGACCGGCACAGATCAGGACCATTGTCCTCAGAAAAGACAAGTGAAGATTGTGTAAGAGTGGATGCGTACCTCGCTGAGGGCTCCTCTGTGTGTTCTGGATGCTGCTGCTGCTCCAGCTCCAGCATGAGGAGGCCCGACCAAGCCGGGGGCTGGATTTGAGATGGCGCCCAGGCCGAGGTGTCTCTCCCCCGGGCTGGGGAGTCTGCTCTGTTCGCACTGCGCTCTGATTCGGTCGAGGAGCTGGGTGAGCTCCATCCCTGTGCCATCCTCCTCCTCCCCTCCTCCTGCTGCTGCTGCTGCTGCCGTGGCCGTCGCTAACAGAGCATCACAGGAGCTGGCCCGCTGCAGCTGCAGAGCCCGGGCTGCCTGCAAAACAGCCAACCAGGGGGAGGGAGAGAGAAAGGGAGCAGAGAGAGAGGGGAGGGTGAAGGATGGTAAAAAATACAGGCGAGACAAAAAGAGAGATGAGAGTTGGATTAAAATAAATTCTGAATGAAAAAGGTGAGTAAAATGCAAAGGAGAAAAAAGTGGGAACACATGTGGAGAGACAAGGAGAGGAAGAGTAAGCAGGGATCAATACCACATTTATGCATATGTGTGTGCACGAAAGGATCCTGAAAGTGAGGGAGGGGAGTATTAGTCAGCAGGAATGAGAAAATGAAGATAAGGAGGGAGGAAAGAAAAGATGGAGGAGGGACGGACGAGGTCACTGTGAAGTGTTTCTCACACAAGGAAAAAAAGTGCTCATGCACACCCAGTCATTACAGGACTATTATGTCGAGGTTGGAACAGATCACTTATAATTTACGTGTTATTATAACAAGTATTCCTATAATTAGAGATCTAAATAGGACTATTACACACATTTTATATATCATAACCACTTAAGGGTCATGTAGCGTTCACGAGAGGAGCACATCTGTGGAGGTCAGAGTGAAGGGACAAACAAAGACTGTGTGGAAATTGTTTTTCATCCTGTTTTTAATGTGAGAGATCGAGACAGCAGATGCAGTTAATAGACAGTCCCTTGAAAATGTGCCTCATCATGTACCTCTTTTCCACAGTCACTGACAATAAAGGCTTCAAAGGCCTTAAGTTTGTTCCATGCCGATGGCAGCTTTTTGGCACCACAATGTTTTTGCAGTGGAAACGTGTGAAAACTGGTTATAGACTTGTAGGGGCTGGTTTCTGCTCTCTTTTCCAGCCACTACAAGATGACAGTTTGAATCCAGCACCAACGAGAAAATGTCAACTCATTCCTCCAAACATGCAGGTACTGTAATTTCCTGCCTCTTCGCTTCTTCTTCCTCTACTCTGTCTCAGAATTACTGAGTTTTGCAGCCTCCAGGGACCCTGAATGTTCTCGCTGAAGTTATAGGGGTGAGCTAGTTTCTACTTTGGAACACAGTTACTACTGTGCATGCAGATGGAAAAGCACGGGAGGACAGAAAAGAGAGCAAAGTTAAAAAGACAAATGAATGAGAAGGCAAGACAGAAGAACATTTAATGACCTCAAATTCCCGGTGCATCTCCTGCAGCTCTGTCATGGAGCGGTGAACCTCTGCATGCAGTATCATGCTGCTGTGATCTGCCGTCCTCTTGGTCTCCCTGAGCAGAGCCACCTCTTCCTCCAGACGCCTGGTGTTCCTCTCTTCGGTCTCGCACCTGCGAGGGGATATTGACACATATCGACCTAGTTTTATTATTTAAACAGTAAAATGCATGAACACACCAACCACCCGGCATCCATTCACATTGTTTTCTGGGGGAAAACTTGCATTTTTGAGGCCATTACAAAAATATGAATTCATCCTAATTTCAACCTTAACTAAATATGCCTGCTGAGCAATGTATGATTGATTAGAGGACCATCTAACATCTAACTGGTGCAAAACCAGTCCAGGGTAGCATCTGCTTTAATCTGGTTTAGTTCAAACTGGAAGTTTAGCAGATCATGTGCAGCCAATGTTTAATAAAATGGAATAAGCTGATGAACAAACCAGAATAAGATGAAAGACGCCACATGAATTAAAATGAATGAATAATGATTCAAGTTAAATTCCAGGTTTTTGTTTGATTAGTTGTGATTTTTAGATAATCTTCTAATTTAAAACATTTGAAAGGTACTTTATAGATGACAAAAAGTCAAAAGTTTTTTGTGTTTTATTATAAATCACTGCTTGCAGCCTACCTGGAGTACCTTCAGGACTCACCACAGGATCACAGCTCACACTGTGGCAAGCATTTAAATTGAGGTTTGATCGCTACTGTGCATCAAATGTTTGACCTTTGTATAGTGGGCAGGGATAGCTCAGTAGGTAGAGTTGTGGCCCCATGATTGGAAGGTCGGGGGTTCGACTCCACTGAACGGCTACCCTGAGGTACCCCTGAGCAAGGTACCATCCCTACACACTGCTCCCCGGGCGCTGCACTGGTGGCTGCCCACTGCTTCACTGGGTGAATGGGTTAAATGCAGAGGAACTATTTCCCTATGGGGACTAACACGCACACTTAAAAAAATAAAGAAATCTGTGTTGTAAGATTCAACCTTTGCTTTTCCAGTTAACTGTTTCAGAGAAGTGTAAACGGGTTAAAAATGTGTCATTTTTATTTCAACTTGTAAATCTGGTGAAAAACATCTTGATTAATCCTGGATTTGTATGTGAAATGCTCATATGCACTGTTTGTGACATGCCAGGGTCCAAAGTGGCGCAGTGATAAACAATGCTCCCTCACAAGAGGAAGGATCTGGGTTTGAATCTGCCAGTAGTCTGGCAATTTTGCAGCGGAGGTATGTTCAAAGTCATGTTTTATTTATCGCTCCGGCTCGAGACCGAGCTAATTTAGCAACTGAAATGACTGAGTAGGGCAATTTGAAAGTAAACTAAGAAAACACCCCAGAAATTCTTATCATTGGTCCAGACAACATGGAGGAAGATTGCAGAGAAGGTTGATGTGACAGGCTGAGACAGAGACAGATGATCCCTAAAGAGACCAGGCAGGAGGAGGAAGAAGAGGGCGACGATGACAACACGACAACCATTTTTGAGAAACATGTAAATAATGTCACCCGATCCCTGGTACTACCACCTGAGGGTCGGTATAATACACACTGAGTTTTAGCACTCAGTTTTTCCTCTTGGACAGATTTTTGTAAAGCTCTTTTACAAGCTATTAATCAAAAATCGATCAATAGACTTCAAATCACTCAAAATGCAGCAGTAAGACTTTTTTCAGGAACTAATGAAAGTGTCTAAAAATATTACACAGATTTTACTGACTCTACACTGGCTGTTCATTAGTTTTACAATTGTTTCCAAGATTTTGCTTCTTACTCTTAAAGCTCTTTGTGGCCTTGTTCCAGAATACACTGGAACCTTGTGCCAACCAGTGCATGGCCCGAGATCCTCAGGCAGGAACCAGTTAACTGCTCCCACCTCACACTTAAAGACAAAAGTAAATTCAATTAAATTTAATTCAATTTTAATTTTATAGCGTGAAATCAAATCTATCGCCACAAGGTGCGTTTGTAAGGTAAGGACCCGATAATAAAGAGAAAACCCAAACAATCAGACGACCTCCTGTGGTGACATACTTGGCGACAGTGGGAAGGAAAAACTCCCCTTTAAAAGAAAGAAACCTGTTAAAACCTCTGCCACAATTCATTTGGTTCAACGGAAAGAAAACTAGACAGAAGATGAATCTCAACAGGGAGCTAGTTCCACAGAAGGGCGCTGTGGCCCCTCCCTGAGCCTGATTCTGTTGGAGGTTTCTTCCTGTTAAAAGTGAGTTTTTCCTTCCCACTGTCGTCAAAGTGCTTGCTCATAGGGGGTCACATGATTGTTGGATTTTTCTCTGTATGTATTATTGTAGGGGCTACCTTACAATATCAAGCGCCTTGAGGCGACTGTTGTTGTGATTTGGTGCTGTGTAAATAAAATTGAATTGAACTGAACTGAGAAAGGACCCAAGTGCAGGCACTGACAAATGACGTATTGCGAGTGAGCTTTAATTACAGTGGGGAAAACGAAACAAACAAAAGCTGAACATGGCAGCAACTAAACTGAAACAAAACCTAAACTGGGTGAAACTAAAGTGATACAAAGGAACAAAAGCCTGGGACTAGAAACTCGGGACATAAAACATAACAACCTGAGACATGGAGCCTGGAACACAGAGAAATGCAACAGGTAACGCACAGAGAGGAAGACACAGGGCTTAAATACACAGGCAGGACAATGAGAGGATGGTGAACAGGTGGGAACACAGCTGGGACAAATCAGACATAATAAGACAAAGGAAGCAAAGCAGAATACACTAACATAAGACAAGGACTATCAAAGTAAAACAGGAAGCATGAGACATTCGCAGAGACGCAGACTCAGAGACACGGACTAGACACTGAGACATGACTGACATGATGCACTGTGGAACACAGGGAAGACACAGTGAGCGAAACTAGGAGATAGAACAACAAATATAGTATAAACACAAACCCAGCCATGAATAACAAATAATCGAGGAATATAACTTAATCAAACACAAAACACTGGGTCACAGACTCAATGCCATGACAAACTGCAGTTGCTTCCTTCAAGCTTTAAAGACTGAGTCACATCCTATCTACAGCTTTCAACTCAAATCAATTTACTTTTATTTATATAGCGCTAAATCACAACAACAGTTGCCTCAAGGTTTTTTATATTTCAAGGTAAAGACCCTGCAATAATACAAAGAAAACAGAGAAAACCCCAAAATTCATGTGACCCCCTATGAGCAAGCGTTTTGGCAGCAGTGGGGAGGAAAAACTCCCTTTTAAGAAACCTCCAGCAGAACTACGCTAAGGGAGGGGAGGGGTGGGTCAACTGCTGCAACCAGTTTTAAGCCTCGTCTTAAAAGTAGAGATAGTGTCTCTCTCCTGAATCCAAAGTCTTATACTGTTTTCTTAGCCTTGGACAGATATTCTAAAAATTATTCAAAAAGGGGTTTTAATATGAAATCTTTATGATTTCATGTTAATCTTTATGAATATGAGATCTTTATGCCATAATTCAGAGTTCTTCAGAGTTCACTATCACAGAGACAGTATGTGAGCTATAAACATCCTTCAAAGCATTAAGTTTGCCTGTCTGCTCTGTTATCAAACCACATACTTCAGGATATCTCTGAATCTTCCTCTAAGTCTTATAGCAATGGTTCACTGCACAACATCACAATGTAGTGGTTAAAAGTGGATAATTACAAATAAAATCAGACCACAAAACTTTCCATTACCCTAGCCACATCAAAGATCCAGTTCCTGGAATAAACTACAAAGAGCAGGAGAAAAATTCTCTGTAGGAAACATTTTCATTATTAAAAATATCAGAGCACATACAAACATATGGCTAACCCCACCCAGTCACTCGAAGGTCAAGTATTGACTAATGCAAACAGCAATTCTAAGAATAGCTAGTGAGTGTCTAACCAGGGGCTGGAGTCTCTGGTATCAGCTGGAAGTTTTTATTTCACCCCATGACTGTGAGTCATTGCGCTGCAGAAATGATAACTAAAAGAGAAAAGGACATAAAAAGACCTTGGAGTCATCCTAGTGCATCATAAACAGACAGATGGTCAGGAAACTCGTCAGGTGAAGGTATAAAAGGAAGAGACGCAGGTATTTCAGCCGCTGTCCTTCAGGGGTTAACATCCGACAGCAGGCGGGAGATGTGTGAGGGAGGTAGAGGTGGTGCTGATTGTGTCACTCTGCATCAATACATAAGTGAAAGCGCCGACGCGGCACAAAGTCAGGCCTGAATTTGTATGCAGGTTGGCTCACAGGAGCGGGAACTGGCCTGAGTGCGATAAAAGGGGAGCTGGAAAAGCATTGCAGAAGGATGAAAACAGGAAGTCTTTTATTCTGAACTCAACAGCTTTGCCTCAAACACTGAAACATCTTTATTGGCTGGTGATGATTATCCCATATTAGCGCCTGTCATCTGGTAAAAACTACCAATGGTAGACAAACAAAACCATGTCTTTTGCCCACTGTGGCCGATTACTTTGGACATAAAATAGATGCAATAGGTTTATGCAATATGAAATCATACCTAATGCTAATTAATAATCAGAAAATTGTATTGATTGAGGAAGAGGAGCACTGGAGCTTCCAGGAAAATTAAAGCCAAATACAGCTGACCTGGCCTGGATGGCAGCCGCTCTGGACTTCATGCTGTCAGACTCTAAAGCCAGCTGAGCATTCTCCATCAGTAGTTTACCGACCTGACAAAGCAAAAAACAAAAAAACAAATAAGATGTGATTAGATTTGGAGGTCAAGGCAAAATCTGACCGGTGATTCTATACATACAGTTTCCATGTTCTGATGGCATGATCAAAGCTACAGCTCTCTAAGAAACAAATCATGAGATGAAAGTCACAAAACCTGGAAAAAGTGGGAGAGCAAGTCGCGGCAGTGGTTAGCACCGCTGACTTTTAGCAAGAAGGTTCTGGGTTTGAATCTCGTGATCTCTGGACTCTTTTGTGTGGAGTCTGGTTATTTTCCACATTATAAGGCGCACTTAAAATCCTAATTTTCTCAAAAATCAACAGTGCGCATTATAATCCAGTGTGCCTGATGTATGAATTCTGGTTGTGCTTACTGACCTTTTATGTGGTACACGGCGCTCAAAATCTGTCAACAATGTTTTAGTAGGACTTTTGTGAGCTATGAAGCCGCACTGCTTGATAGATTGTCAGAGCCTCATGGCTACTGTAGTCAGGAGCCTCGCGGAGTAATCTGGGTCCTAAACTTCTTCTACTTCTGTCCCAAGGTCAAACGAACACTGCGGCATCACTGGGAGTTAAAAACTGTCTAAATTCTTTCATCTTTAATAAAATGATCAGCGTTACTGCTTTACTGGATGTAACAATTAAGTTTAACATCCAGGCATCCATGAAAACAGAATTTATTAAATTTAACAGAGTCAGAAGTTAGCAGGAAGTTAGCTCGCTAGTTTCCACCTACAGCTCTTCTATCATTTTCAACATAAATGAAGACAGAAAACTAAACAGCAGTGACTTTTTTAGGGTTGCTGAAGTTGGGCTAGCTGGTATGTAATGATGCGCTACATGATCGCTAGCTACACAGCTATGTTAGCATAACAAACTGGAGGACTAACGCTAACCTTTTTCCACTCTGTAAAAGTTAACGTGAGGGTTCCCGTTGGTTACGAACAAATGCAGTTGCATGGCAGAATGCTGTAAACGGACCAGACGTCAGACAGGAGAACAACTGAGATAATCCATCCACAATAAGAGGTTAGTCATTAATATACTGCAACAACATGGGAATAGAGCAGCTGCCAGAGAATTCAACATTAATGAATCAATGGTATGGAAGTACGGAGCCCTGCAAGGGACATGGGAGAGAAAAAAATTACGATGAACTTTTGCGAGATCTCGCAAAAGACAGACATCTCCGAAAATGTCAGAGCACTTTTGCAAATATGTGATGTCTGGAATTCAACTTTTGCGAGATCCCGAGTTACCGAGTTACCTTTGCGAGATCTCGCAAAAGTTCATCTTAATTTTTTTTTCTCCCATGTCCCTTGTGGGGCTCCGTATGGAAGTGGAGGAAGCAAGAAGAATGAGTTGAGTAAAATTTGACTCATCTGACTGTTTTGTTTCGCTTAATGCGCCTTATAATCGGGCCTGCCTGATGGTCCGGTATTCTCCTAAATCCTGTGTGGGCTTACAAGTGCTCAGGCTTGCTAAACAGTCCAAAAACATGCATGTTAGGTTAAGAGGTGATTCTAAATTGGTCGTACATAAAGAATCTAAATGCATAAAATAAAGTGCAATATGACTTTGTGTGAAAATGTAAATGTGGCTTGTAATCTAAAGCACTTTGAGTGGTCAGTGAGATTAAAAAGGAGCTATAAAAATGCCCAACCCATGCTATAGACGCCTCATGCTTGTAATCCATCCTACTTTGCATGCCAAAATCCCCATATTATCAGACGCACACAGACTCTGAAAAGATACTGTTATGAATTAGGCCTATTCAGAAGAAAACAAAGCATTTGTACATCAAAGGTGATGCGATTGACTCGATTCAGCTCACGCCCTTCCTCTTTGTACTTTTTAAATATAAATTACACTAATACATCAAAATATAGCTTGTTGAATATAAACTTGATATATTTAATTTACAGGTAAAGCTAAAATCGATCCTTTGAGTGTTATTGCTCCTCATGTCACTTCTGCACTCAGAAAGCAAATCAGTGGTCCAGTTTGCACATCCTGTTTACATATTGTTCATGGGAGAGTTCATTTAGCATACACCTTCTGCAGGGATTTATATCAAATCCCACAATTTTTTATAATTTCTAATATTATTTTAATACAGCAAAGTAAAGTATAAAACATTGGATCCTTGTATTATATCAAACACAAATAAAAATCTTAACACGCCCTCATTCTCCTTTGTTTTCTTATGAGTACAAAACTTTTGAAAGAAGACACACCCTTGCTGAAAGAAAGCCAAAGATAACATAGACTATTCCACCATTTTTTTTTTTTACCATAAGCACCATTACAAGCTTCACTCATTGTATGGATAGAACATTACAATCCCAGCTTCAGACTCCCGGTGAGGATGTGAGTCAGGAGACTGACAACATCATGGAGTAATGTCTGCCCCGTCTCCTGTGATGTAACTAAATTGAGCACTTCTTAAGAAGATAAATAGAGAACTAATCCCTAACATTTATATGGAAGCACTCCCTGGATCCTCAGACAATGAAGTTGGCTGAGTTTGTCTGTGGTAGTCATGGGAACATGTGAACAACTAATTAGTGTCTGTCAGTGACACCTACTTATGCACGGTGTAAAGAAAGTGACAGTAAATCCAGGGAGCAGCTCAAAACCATCAGTTGAGTCATGGGAGATCACTGCTGTTAGTCGTCGACTCAGCGCTTCCGCATTCTTTCTGTGGCAGCCATCAATCGTGGGTCTCTGTGGCAGCGTAATGATACGGGCACAAGACATATCTTTCTATATCTGTGGCGAGGCCTCTCACAGTACGCAAAACATCTTCGATTAGTCTCGTTGATACCAAGGCTGTTACAATGATAACTAATGTTAAAGGTAAAAAACTTGGGCGTGTGGTTCGACATGGTGCTCTCTTTCAGGTCTCATGTAACAGAGACAACAAAGTCCACCTTTTGTCATTTAAGAAACATAATCACATAAGTTTTGTCAAGCGACACTGCAGAGGTTCTTGTCCATGCATTTGTGTCTTCGCGTATTTATTATTGTAATGCTCTCCTTTCTGGGCTACCAAAGAAAAGTTTTAGAGGTTTACAGATGGTTCAAAATGCAGCTGCTCGCATTTTAACTAAAACTGGGAAATCTGAGCACATTACCCCTGTACTGAGATCTCTTCATTAGCTACCTTGACAAGTTCAAGCAGATTTTAAGGTCCTGCTGCTCACCTACAAGGCTTCAAATGCACCTTCATACCTCTCTGACCTTTTGCACCCTGTGTTCCATCCCGTGCTCTCCGATCTCAAGACTCTGGCGTTTTAAAGGTTCCTACAGCCAGAAAAAAAGACTATTGGAGAGCGTGCTTTTTCTTTTAGTGCCCCATTTTTGTGGAACAACCTTCCTCAAGATATTAGGCAGGCATGCTCTGTGGAGGTTTTTAAAACTAGTTGAAGACCCACTTGTTCACCCTATCCTACATGTCAAAATTCCATGCCTTTTAGTTGTTAAATAATAATAATACTAATAATAACAATAATAAACTAAGTCTAAAAGCATTTTACCTACCTGAAATGATTATTAGCTAAAAAAAAAATGTTATGTATTATGTGAGTACAAGAAAATAATTATTAGAATATAATGTGTTAAATTGGCTTAGATGAGAGGGTCCAGCAATAGATCAGAGGAATAGGGAAGCATTTGTTTGTGTGTTTTAGTTTGGTTTAGCTGTAGGCTTGAGAGTGTGTGTAATTGTGTAGAGGGAAAGGAATTTATGGAGACTGGGAGTCTGCCTGTCATAAAAGGAAGCTACAGTTGGGGGTTGCTGATGCTGATGCTTGTACCTTTAATAAAAACTCATAATTGTTATAACTTAGAAGCAGGTTTGCAGGAGACACTCCACATGGGTGAGGAGATTACTTTTATGACCGGCAGGAAGTCACATACACAGAGACACATACACAGTGCTTTGACTGTTATGACGCACCCACACCTACATGCACATTCACTCACGTGCACTCACACATACACACAGGTGCGCACACACACTCACTCACGTGCACGTGCATACACACACAGACACAGAGTTTGCAGCACACCGTGGGGGTTTTATGATGGGGTCACTTCTATAAAGCTGTCTGTAACAAACAAAGGAGTGGAAGATTTGCAGAGGGACACCGGCCTTGCGTGTCTCCCCTTCTCTTGCGTAACTGAAGATGAATGAAGGTGAATAAAGGTTTTGTGAAAATGACTACTGAGTCCGGTGCCGTCTCTGGATGCCTCGAGGAATAAAAAATATATCATAACAGTTTAAAAACTAATAAACCAGAAGCTTTATATCTGCATGACATACATGTCTTTAGTATTTGGATTTTAGTATTGGACAATTGCAATGATTTGTTTTATTACATAATAAAGCAAAATCACATTCAGGAGGGGCCATAGGAGTCCAGGCAATGTGGATTGGGCTCTTGTTGAGGACTGAAACTGGCTTTGGGTAGGTGGAACGTCACCTGTCTGGTGGGGAAGGAGTGTGAGGTAGTTCTAGAGGTAGAGGGATACTGGGTATGGCTAAGTATAGTTAGACTCATCTCAGTGCACAACTTGGAACCAGTTAGTTGGAGAGCGGTTGGACTGACACTGAGAGGTGGCAGGCAGGGGTGGGTATATTTTTATCCCCTCGGTTCAGTGCCTGTAATTTGCAGTGCTTATAAGCTGAACAGCATCTCAATGTACCCAGTAGGGTCCCTGAGTGGAGTCCTGGAAGATGCCCCATCTGCCCTACTCAGGGACCCCTGTGCTCACGAGGGCAATGACATTGTGACCTGGAGTTATGTGACTGGGAGGAACACCATGCTCGCACATAAGGGTGCCCATAAGTGCACAGGGTACCAGGACACCCTAGGCCTCAGGTTGATGATTGGTTTTGTAATCATATCATAAGCTCAGCTGCTTGCTGAGGAGCACTGAAACTGAGAGGAGATCGAACCCCCGCCCCCCAAAAACATGTCGGCTGCAGCCCTGATGCACAACTTTCTCTATTTTGAAGTTAGCGTTACGCTTGTTCAAGTTTTTGTTCCATGCAAACGTCAATAGCATTAAGCAACACTAGCTAACCTTGAGTTGTGAGCTACTAACCCCAAAATGCTGTCTCGAGTTGCTCCTGGAAGCGAATTGACTATATTATATTATAACTACCGGTATATTATAACATTGGACTGAGTTTGGCAGATGAAATAAAAAGTAAAAATCTTGCTGTGTGTTTATGAGCTATTTGAAACTGTTTACTACATTCTATAATAACCAAATCATGTTTTATGTGTCAGTGAAATGAGTGCACACACACAGTGACAGCTAACTTTGAATATAGCAGTGCAACAGCAGCAGCCTTCCTTCTTTGGACATGCCTGTTCTCCAGTGACTTCATGTCATATGCCATGACACGATTAATCGACGAGCAGCATTGTCTAGTCGACTAGCTTTTCACATCTCTAGCCTTTAGTAACTCATCTGATTCCTGTGATATTTGTGATAAATTAACTTGTAGTTGTCAAATTATTTTATCAGCCGTGAATGAACTGTTGCCACATTCATGCAGCGTAGCAAAGTTACATCTAGCTTTCACATATTTAATTAAAAATGATCAACAACAGATTAAATTTGCGGTCCTTGTATGTAGTCCTAACAGGAACTTCAGAAATAAAAGGCAGTTCATTTTACAAACTGTGTGATGGTCTTAAAAACAGGGTGCCATTAACCACCTATCCTATCCTTTAACTAAACATGTGTTCGAGGCTGTTCACAGGATGCTGCATCCAGCTGTCATCGACACTACACTACACTAGACAATAGGCTGTGTTTTTACTGCACTCATTGTTTGATTATACACACCCACTCCTCTCCTGTGGCTGCAAGATGGCCTTGAGCTGATTATTATAAAGCCTGAGTAGAAATAATACTGCAGCACCACAATTATGTCAAACAGCTGTGAAATTTACATAACTCTTTATACCATCTGACCTGGGCACGGAGCTCCTTGACGGTCTGTTCCTGTTTGGACCAGTCCTGGGAACGCGCGGTGTTCCTGACCCCCCAGCTGGCTATCTGAGCCTCCAGCCGCTGGTTTTCTTCCTGCAGCCGGTTCACCTGCTCCAAGAAGCTCTTCAAGCGAGCATTCAGGCCCCACATTGTGTGACTGGAGTCCTGCAGCGAGTCCATGGACATCTGAGAGAGAGCGAATGTTTACAGTCACACGCAATTGCTGAGCCTGTGAAATTTTCATACAGTCAAATGACGCAGCTGGTGGTGCCTGTGATGGCCAAACCTTTCAGGCAGTACGTGACTGACAGGCGCGTGTTCACAAGAGCTTACAACTTTCTCTGCAGTGTGAAACCCACACGCTGCCAAAGGCGTTTACAAGGTAAATGTTTACCTAGTGATACTCACCTGCAGCAACGTGGCCTTCCCTGAATGAAGCACAGTATATGTAAGTCACTCTGTTTGCCCGGTCACACAGTCCACCACTCCTCACAGCTTAGCTGCATTCCTCCACAGCGAGCTGGAGAGCACTTCCCACTGTGTCCCAGATCATCGGCAGCAGGCCCCCGAGACAGAGCAGACAGGCTGCCGGTTGGCCTGCCGGTATCAGCGTTCGCTTGTCTTCAGGGTCAGTCACGGCAGGGACGTTTCTCCCTGTCCCACCTCGGCCCCTCCCAGGCAGCATGTGGGGTAAGCGCTGGACACTGGACACAGTGCTTGCATCACCAACGCTCTGGGGTCCCTTTGTACTCTCTGATCCAGGATTACTGATCTGCTTTCAAACAGGCAGCAACACAAGCTGCGGAGGGAATGTTCAGGGAGACACAGTGACAGGACCTGAGTGTGTGTGTGTGTTTGTGTGAATGGTCCTGTAATGAGAAGTTACATTCACTGTAATGAATGTGAAGCCCGTGTCCCTGAACACTCTCTCACTCTTTGTGCAGACTTGCTCAATGACAGCCTTGGTTGGATGTGTTTGTGCTGTCTGGGCCAAAGGTTTTCTCTTCCAAATATTATCATGTGGTTTTTTTATATTCCCTTGGTTACAAGGACTGCAGATACGCTTTCTTAACTACTGTTTAAGCAGTTACTTAATGTCATCTGGAGTTTGTAGCTTTCTGTTGCTTTCAGCGGACAGACTCTGCAGCATCATCTTAGACTTCAATAATATCATGGAAATGGCTAATGTGTTATGATAAGAGAGGTATGTTTTTTTAAGGTGGGGTGTGGTTCAAACACTCTCTCCTCTCAATGTTTAAGAGGATAAACCCAGTATAAACAACTGGGTGGGCCACTGTAACAACTAGAAAAGAAAAAAAACTAAAAACAAGGCTTGACGGAGGATTCAAAAGTGCATGTTAGAAGTTGATGGTGAGCGTGTCTAATGTCTGTAAGACAAAATCAAAATCAGCTGAACTCACATGAACTCACAAGCAGAATGACAGAGCTTTGTGAGTTTTTGATCAGATTACTCAGGCTTCACTGCCATGAACAGATCCCTAAAGATCAAACTGAGGTGTTTTTTTCCCACCCTGTTGCACATGAATTCATAACTGAAACTTGGCTTGTTTACCTGCGAATCTTTGGGTCAACTCTCTTTAAAGCCACAGCAGCCACCCAGGTTACTGCAGCTTTCAGCACTGCCTTTGGCATCAAAATTCTAATCATAGTATTAAAGATGAACGTTGCTTTCAGCTCTGAAAAACAACTTTGAACGTGCCCTGGGGGACAGCAATAAGGGTGACATTTAACTTACTTTAAATAAATAATTTTAAATAAATAAACACTGTAAAATTTGTATATGTACATGCATTCCTACCCCCCCACCCCCCCAACCCCCTTGAATGTCTCCCTAATTCTGAGGTCTCAAGGATCGCAAGTTTGCAGAGACAGAGCAGGAGATGTAAGAAAAGTGCATGAAATTAAACGACCTTGTGTTTTATTTCTTGGGCTCTATTTTTGGGACTTTTAGAGAAGAGCAGGGTTTTTTCCCTTTTCTGTCACTTACTCGTATCACTTTAAGGTCTGCTACATTAAAAATGGCTCACAAAGATGAATCAATTTTTAAGAAGATGAACGTTTCACTATACCTGGACACCTTTTTTTGTTTTCAAAGAGCCTTGTTTGCGGATTTGCAAATACTTGAGCTGTCTGGATTTGCTTGCCAGGCAAAACAAGCATGTTTGCTAAGAGAAAGGATGTGGGGGTACTATTACACACATCTGAGCTTCTTTGTGCTGCTGCAACCTAATATTGTCTCTGTCTAGACTTTCATTCTTTATCTCTGACTTTTTCATGTGGCTTCGCTGATGGTTGTGGGTGTTGTGGTTATCTATCAGCGTGGCCAGAAAAGACAGGAAATGGGTTCATGTATAGAGAAAAAAAAATCAGATATAAAGAGTGAAAGAGCAAGAGAAGGAGAATAAGTCTGTAACAGGACATGAGCTGTGTAGATTTTAATAATTAAACGCACACACACAAAGCACACTGTCTAACTAAACAATGCCAGACTTGTATGCCAGGACACTTACTGTCATTGCACTCCCACACCCTGTCAGTAAGATGGATTGGCAGGAGAGCAGCAACGATGATAGTCAGTTGAAATCCGGGAAACAAAAAAGCAAAAAATTTCCATGATTAAAAAAAAACGCTCTTAGGGCGTAGAAGGTGGCTCTGCTTTGGGTGTCTGTGACAGATGATTTTTGCTGCAAGCGTGACGGGGGAATGCCATCGAGCCTGTTTCTGGATGCCGTGTTGCTCCCTCAGACATCCAAGATGTGTTTTTTTATTGCACTGCATTTAACTGATGGGTTTAAGCAGGTGTTAACTTGTTACACAAATTTAAGGAGAAAAGGTGGAGGCGTTAGAGGTGGACACTGCCCAAAAAGAGAGTGAAAAACAAAACAAATCCACCCCGGATTATGAGTTTACCACCAAACAGTCTCACGAACATGAACTTTGCCTCTTCGCATTCCTCGACCTCTGTTTCCTTCGAGGGAGGAGGGGCAGCAACAGCTCTTTGATCCTTCTTCATGTGATCCCTCATTTTCATGAGCCTTTTGCTAAACGTGTCTGACAGAAAAAACAGAAGGAACCTGTTATAAACACACAATACCTTTCATCCTTTGTTTCGTAATTACTGCTTAAAACCAACTCAGTGCCAACAGTTTTTGTTCATACACGGTATCACCACAACAGTCACTTCAGATCTGATTTAGAGACTATTGTGGGCTAAGTCCAAAACTACAGAAAGGATTAACTTCGCATAAACTCCACCAGACTCTGCTGTAGGGGTTATGTTCAGCTAAAGCGTGTGTCATGTGCTTTTACTTGTGGTATAAAGTACACAACAGTTATACTTTAACCTGTGTTGGCTTTTATTTATACCTCTAACCCGCTCGCTCAGGCACCATAAAATATGTTTCTACTCAAATCACTATTATCAATCATTGTGCTGTTTAAAGTAGGGCTGCTCGATTATGGCAAAAATGATAATCACGATTATTTTCACTGAAATTGAGATCTCGATTATTTGACGATATTTATTTAACCCTTTAAGACCTACATAGAACCAAGTCCGCCAGAGCTTATATTATTTTTTACATGTTGTAGTGCCATTTGTGGGAGCATTTCAAGTTGCTATACAACTGTTATAGCCCATATTTTAATAATATGTATGCATTAAGTCATAGTAACTACATTAATTGCAAAAAAGTGCAATAAACTACAAAAAAATTGAAAATCGTTTTTTTACATATATTTCTACTTGGAGAAATTTAAGAGGTTTATCCCTCAAAACTTTAAATACAAAAAAGTTGCAAAAAATAGTTTACAACAACAGGAAATTTATTTTGAGTGTCTTCATAGTTTTATTTTGAGATACACCAATTTTTATATACTGCAGGAAAAACGAAAAAACAATCCTATGATGCAAATTTGCAAAGAAAACAGCAGTGCATCAAAATAAACTATTTCCAGCAGTGCAATTCGAGTTCTAAGCATCCCAGAAACTATTCAGAAAAGTCAAACATGACTTATAAAAACACCAGTATAGCTTTTAAGGCCTAAAGTAAAAAACTACATTTTCCCGAAAATGACGTCACTTCCGGTTTCGGGCAGGAATGGCGGACATGTCTTTGACTGTGGAAGTGTTACAAACAGCTGATCGGATCGGCAAAGCGTGTTTCTGGAATATTATGTTTTTGTTGCTGCAAGTGCTTTTTATGCATTTTTGCAAAGCTTATGTGGAAGGAAACCGTGACCAGGACAAGCTGATGGCATAAGATGTAAGTACAACTCCTCCGGTTTCATATGCAAAAAAAATTATTGCGCTAGCTTACGGGTTCAGTGCTACGGGATTTAAAAATAGTTACCAAAACGGAGCGTGCCCTCCGACCGGCTTTAAAGGGTTAACAATAACAACGTATTGAATAATGACTTTAAAAAATAATATAAAATAGTGTCCAACACCACTGAAGTTTTTTTTTACCTCTCTTTTCAACCAACGCAGTCACTCTCCTCTCCAAATAACTTCTGCTTAGCTTTCCGAGCTTCCCTCGGGTCCTCTTAATCAGCGGTCCCCAACCTTTTTTGCGCCACGGACCGGTTTATGCCCGACAATATTTTCACGGACCGGCCTTTAAGGTGTCGCGGATAAATACAACAAAATAAAACTAGTACCGGTACCGAAAAAAAGAAAATTTATTCATAACACACGTGAAAAGACCCAGGAAAACCGAGTAAACGATAAAAACGATAACAAAATAACGCTGAAAACCGATAAAAACCCTGAAAACATACATTTCACACCTGAGCCTCAACTCTCGCGGCCCGGTACCAAACGACTCACGGACCGGTACCGGTCCAGGCCCGGGGGTTGGGGACCGCTGCTTCTAATTGTTGTGACGCGTGTTCGAAATGCAGAGAGGTGCGCTGATTTGCCACACGGAGCAGCGCGAGAGTAAAGCATGAGGGAGGGGCTAATAATCGGCTCAGTCATTTTTAATGATCGTTGAAAGCCCAGATCGTAATCGTGATTAAAATTCGATTAATTGAGCAGCCCTAGTTTAAAACTTCACTAAGAAATGTTTTCATTTCCACAATGCCAAATGACTAATGTAAAGGACAACACAACAGGAGACCAGGTCGTCCTCACCTCTGCAGAAAGTTTAGACATCTTTCAGGTAATTGTGTTTGCATTTTCCCTCTAAGCAGCAGCCAGCACTTTTAGGACACTATTCGAATCCTTTTAACCTCGATGGTGGAGGGCTAGGGATATATTGCTGCATTCAGTTACTGTCCATGGGTATCATACGCACGCACTTAGCTGCTAGTGAGTGCTAATTAACAGACTAATAAAAACTGGAATTTCACTAACTAAAACTGAAGCACAAACATGTTGAACAGACAAACTGTGCTATTCTTCGGATAATTCCACTTAAAACCTCCAACAGTTGATTCTGTTCATCTGGACGTAGCGTTTTGTGGGAGAAACGTTTGGTCACTCATCCAAGTGACTTCTTCAGTCTCAGCTGACTGCAGGTTTCAATCTTATAAACAGTACATTTGCATAATGACTGAAACCAGCCCACTGAAGGAACAATGGGCTGGGAGGTCAGTTCCTTAATCATAATTATGCAAATTCTCATGACGATTGATCAACAACCACTGACCAATGTCCATGAGTACCATTCACAGAATGGCTGTAATCACAGCATTGTAAGATGGTGATAGATGTACCCTTAGGCCCCCTCCTCAATTCAGAGATGGTCTTTCCCATTTCACGTAAATGCCCTCCTTGACTCCGCCCTCAAACCAGCGTTCCTCCCTGTCCGGGATGTGCACATCCTCATCACTGAAAGAGTGTCCACTGGCCTATAGGTGTAAATAGACTGCAGAGTCCTGGCCTGACGAGGTAGCTCTTCTGTGCTGTGCCATCCGCTTCGCCAGAGGTTGTTGGTTCCCCGATGTATAAATCCTGACAATCCTCCTGGCACTTAACAGCGTACACTATGTTACTCTCTTTGCGTCGGGGGACCCGATCCTTGGGGTGGACCAGTTTTTGGCGCAGCGTGTTTTGGGGTTTAAAAGCCACAGAGACCCAGGGTTTAGAAAAAATGCATCTCAACATGCTCCGATACTCCTGACACATACGGGATCACTACAGGTTTTCACTTGGGCAGCGGTTGTCCTTCTCTCCTGGATCGGCTGGAGCTTTCTTTAGGCGCCTTCCCAGCTTTGACAAAAGTCCAGCTGGGATAACCACATTTACTCAGAGCCTTCTTGATGTGCCGTTCTTCTGCCTCCCTGGCAGATGTCCCCCCATTACTGATGGGGGACAGCTAGACACAGTGTAAGAAGGCTAACCTGCCACTTTTCATATCCTCCCTGGTGAATTTGATGTGTCAGTCCACCGAATTAATGTGATCTGTGAAATGTGGTACGTCCTGAGATTTGATTTTCACCCAGGTGTCATCCACATACCTGAACCAATGGCTTGGTGGTGTTCCAGGGTAGGATAACAAAGCCCTCTTTTCCACTTCTTCCATGTACAAAATGGCCACGATGGGTGAAACTGGGGAGCCCACGGCACACCCATGTTTCTGCCTGTAGAACTGACCCTTGAAGTAGGTGGACACAGTTCCAAAAGCAAACGCACTTCGATGGTGAGAGTGGTCCTGTTGCTGAGGTTGGGGTCATCCTGTAATCTCTTACATTCAAGTTTGTCCTTTAACC